ATTGAACTGTCATATTACATCTTGATTTCGAAGATAAAAATCTTTTTCTTAAACATCAAGGTTGATTTTATTCCACTCATCCTTCACAATCTTCTAAATGTTTTGGGATGCCACTAATAAAGAGCTTGTTTTAAAAGTCCAAATGCACAGTAATCCATAAGAGACACATGACTTGGTTGGGATGATGCATTTAAAGCGATAAGCTTCAATTCTGGTTTCATTTCTCTCTCTCTTTCTTTTTTTTTTTTTTTTTTTTTTTTTTTTTTTAATAGAGCAGTAGATTTGGTAGTATGGCTTGAAACCTTATCCTGCTGGAACTTAGCACAGTGAAGATTGTTTGAATAAAGAGACGGAATTTCTTCTTTAAAAATAAGTTTAAAACATATTTTTGATAGTAATCTGAATTTTGATTTTTTTTTTTTTTCCTACTTTTCTTATTTTGAGTTCCTTGTTATAAGAGAATCCAGTAATAACTATAAAACCTTTAGAAAAACTTTCCTTTCTTCTCTTTTTCAGTAGTATATAGATCACTTTTTATTGCAATCAGATAAGTATATTCAATCCTCATCAAACTATATATTTCCATAATGCTGCAGACGATAAATAAGCCTTATTTCAATTTGATGCCAGATGCATTTGTATTTTAAAATTAATATTTAAATTCATGGAGGAAATCAAAATCATTGCAAAAATGTGTAAACTTCCTCCATATTTAAGGTAAACATAGATATTAGCAAATGTTAGTCAGTAGGTTTATAGAAGCAAGAAGCATGAAAAATTGGTTATGCCATCACCCAAATTCTGGCCAGACCTTCCGATTGCTAGCCGCATATGCTTTCCAGTTATACCATGAAGACATGCTGTGAAAAGGGGGAACCTTACAATGTAAACAAAAATTTATTTTAAATCCTATGTATGTGTGTATTTTATGTATTTATATATCCACAACCAATGAAATAAAAACAGCTGTTTATAATTTGGAAATAACTCTAATTTTTCATGTCATCAACCAGTTTTGTCTGAAATTATCTGACAAAGAATTTTATTAAAACATGCACTAGTCATTTGAGCAGCCAAAAATTCCTCATGATATTTAAAATAACAACAGAATAGTTACTTATTTTCTCAACTCAATCCTACATACATTCACATAAATACAAATCTATGTTATATTGTATAGCTCCAAAGTTTTTGTTGCATCATTTCAATAAATCCCACAGACCATCAATGTTTTGAATTCTGCACCAGTACTAGAATGCACAAAATAATATTGGTGACCTTCCAAGAATACAAGGCATTTGTAGATTTAAAAAAAAAAAAAAAAAGTTCAATACTTCCATGCAGTTTTATTGAAAATCAGTTGGGGTTTCATAAAATCGAATCTGAGACCATAAGAGCTAATTGTAATAGCATGCTCATCCGTTTGGGTCTAAATATCGCTGTTTAGTAACTTTTTTTTAATCAAATGATTAACAGCAAAATTCACAAGTGCTTTCGGTTTATATATAGAGGACCATCTTTAAAATGCAGAAAGAGTTTTGAAAATCATATCAAGTAAAATAAAGTATTATTTAAATTAATATTCAAAAATTAGGATTAATTTGTTAAAGCACATCTGCCAAACTTATTTAAAAACATTCATTTGTACATTATGTATTAAATCCCTTGATTCAAAAGTCATATTAAGAGAAACAGATGGTGCAATATAGAAAGAAATGTAGTGTTTCCAATCTTTACTTAGATTTTCAAATTTTAATCATCCTTCTTAATTAAGGATTTATATGTATTTCAAGCTTTGTAATAAAAATATGCCAGTGAAGAAACTATGCATAATTTTTATTTCAAATCTAATTCAGATAATGTATACAAACTTTATTTAGCAACTTTGTGTAATTTATTTTGACTATATGATTTTATAATTCACTGCATTAATCAGTTTTTGTTAACTGCTCTATATTTTATGTTAAATAACACTAACAGTTCCCCCCCCCGAACATGCCAGCCATGTATATTTTGATTATTAAACAAGCAATTTAAACTAGATATTTCACATTTCTTCTAAAATAACCTTTTGTTATTAAATATTTGAGATACATAAAATTTTCAAAACAGTTTTATTATTCTTAGCAGCAATCAAATTACTGATAAAATACAACAATGCAACTGTTGTTTTTCATCAGTAAATATGTTAATGACATGGAATTTAAACTTAAGTTTTGCCTAGCAACACAGTAAAATCTTTTTCCATAGTCTTGTTGCCTGACAGCATTTCATTTACACAAAGTAATTATGTTCTCAAGTTGCTTTATTAAGCCAATTAGAAAAGTAAAAGCAAGTGACTTGATTTGTATCTAATAGGAGACCTCCATTGATCTCACCACAAATATAATAATCTGCAAAGTTTTCAATTCCCTTATTTTTTGAGGGTATAATTTTCAAAATAAGTTGTAATAATAAGCAGGATGCTTAACATAAATAATAATATGCACATGCTTAACATAATATTCAAAATAAGTTGTAATAATAACATGCTTAACATCAAACAGAAAGTAGCAGTGATTAAAGATGCTGAGAAGAATGCAAAAGGAAAATAGTAAACTTAATAATAATAATAATAATGAAGTGGGAATGGAGAGCAGTTATTTAGGAAATATAATGTAGATATTGAATCATTTATTTATATAAAAAGAAAAATAAATTGATTACTGATTGTTATTTCATATATATAACATACTTTGCTGAATAATTAGATTTATAACAATATTCAAGTTTTAAGCTACATATTAGGTTTTTGATTACATTAAAGAGGTAGACAAAATTTTATAAATAAAATAAAAATCTAATCATTATTTTATGTAATTATTATGCAAATAATTAATTGACATGAAAATTATTATTTTGCATATAATAATAAAATAATACAAAATTATTATAAGCTACAGGTAAAAACTGTAATGATTTTTATATTAAGATTTTGTTAATTACAGAAATGATAAAACATTTGTTTCAACTGAAAAAAATCAGGAAAACACCTCGGCTGTATTCAAACTTGCAACCTGATGGTCCACATAAAATTCAGCACTTCTGTAAATGTGCTAAGTGATCAAGCTAGTTAGGTTTAATCCAAAAGTTCAAAAGACACTGACAGTAGGAAATAAAAAATATGATGAAATGCAAACAGATAATGAAATAGTTTTTCTTGTTTGTCAGACAAAACATAAGAATAGAGTTATTCCCTTAAATAGGAAAAATGTTCTAGCAGCTTTAGTTAATGCTAACAAATGTATAACAAATGCTAACAAAAGTAAAAAATTACATCGCTCTGTGGTTTACACTAATAAATCACTTATGTCAAAATGAATTAATATTCTATCATTTATAAAGATGTCAATCGGAAATTATTATCCAAAATAAATGTTGCATCATAATTGTTAAAATAATAACAAACTCTAAACAATTCGTGTGTTCTTTAAACAATTATGTTCTAATTCATTAGCCACTATTGCTTTTCAAGTCACTATCGATTCATTAGCCACTATTTATTTTTACATTCAGTTTCATTGGCTTTCACCAAATAAGTGACCAGCAGCACTGCATTCCATCATGGTCAATAATCACAATTCTTGGCACAGGCACCAAAGACAAGTATCTGATGCACCTACAATATGTTTCTCCATGTAGGTGGACTGGTGCAGGTGCTGCAGACATCAAAAGATACTTGTATGGACATATGTCTGCTCATGTAGATGCCTTAAGATTTGCATAAGGTTCATTATTAAAATTGCTTGGATGTAAAAATTTGTATTCTTGGCTTTACATTTGAAAATGACAACTAACTTTTAAATATTACTATCATCCATTTTACTGCTTCTGTCGTTTGAATGTGCACATTGATATTTTTTATACATTGAATGGGAAAAAAATGCATGTTTTTTCTTGTTACAATAAGTAATTGTATTTGCTTTCTGATATTAAAATTTGCTGTAATGTTAAGTTACTTGCCATATAAAATTTGATATGAAGCATTTCTTTAAAATTTCATTTGTATCAATTTTATTTGTATGCCCCTTTGTATTAGAATGGTGTGTGTATGTATGCATGACATTTTTGCTATATTCATATGCTATTTCAAAGTTTATTTAATATTGTTGCACGCAAAATTTTCTTCTGCATAGCTTCAGTGTAAATAAGGTTTTTGAAATGTTTATGCATATTTGTTATTATATAAATTCATTTCCTGAAATTTTACAAATAAATAATTAATTTTAAAATTATGTTTTTAGTGGTTACTCATTAGGTCATCAAAATCTAAAATGGTAAAATTTTTCTGTGTGATGCAAATGTGAAATATTAAGAATTCATTTCATAGTTCCCCCATATGTTTTTCCTTAGAGAGTCTATAATAACAACTAAATTTTTTTAATAAAAATTTAAGTTAATCTCTTTTAAATTATTTTAATTTATGCTTTAGGTGTCTGAAGAATTCCATGTGTAAAATTTCATGGCATTTCATTTCATTCTCTTCATAGCAAAATGTTAAATAAAAATGTGTACATGACATGTTCAATGTAATCTAGGTACCTTCAAATGTGTTTCAGTTTAGAATTTCTAATTTAAATCCCTTAAAATGAAAAATTCTATGAAAATTCAATTTGCTAATTTAATTGTTACAGTTTTAATTTAGTTTCAAATCAGCTAATCATTTTTAAATGTAGAATATATGTTTTTATTTATGCTTATCCATGTGTATTTAATTAATTATTTTAACCTGTTAAGTAAATATCATGTAAACTTAGGTTTAAAGAAAAAAGTTTAAATACTATTTAGTCACATTTTATGCATTACTTTGTAAACCACTAAAAAAAGTTGTTGGTTCACTTTTAATAATAAATATAAAATCATTTGAAAAGAGTATAGAGAAATTTTAGTTTAAAAGATATTTATGCTTCGTTTGCATTGTATTAATCTTTTTTGGTAAAATAAATCTTTTGTTTTGATAGGTACCTGATTTTGATTTTTCAAAGTACTATTTCCGAAATTTATTCAGTCGCATGTCTGGCTTATCTCGCAGTGTTTCGGATCTCATGAATCCAGATGCATGTGGTGTACGCTTTAAAAATTATCGTTTTTCCACTGTTTATGCAAGAGATAAAGAATATTTGTAAGTTTTTTTATAATTAATATTTATCAGAAGTATTTGTAGCATATTGTATTTGATTGAGAACTTCTAGGTTTGCATGCCATCATTCATTTGCTCTGATTTAAAGAAATAAAAATTTAAATCTAGGTAAACTAATTGAATTTGAATCATACATAGTCATTATGAAACACTCATAGCTATTTTCCTAAGTACGATTTGTAACCCCGCGGCTCAACAAGCGCCAGCTAGCGGCTGCCAGAACAAAACACCAGCCAACAAAGACTATAGTAGTCAGTCGATGTACTGAACTCAAGACACTAAGCATGGTGTTCCCAGAGATTTACTTTGTAACTTTAATATGTAGTTATAACGCCTTTAATTGTGTTATCTTAATTGTGTTTTGTTAATTAAAACTGTTTTAAAAGGCTAAGTGAGTCTTTTGTTTATGGTATTTTTGGTTATAGATTGTATTTATAACTTTAATAACTTGTTTATAACTTAAAAACTTATAACTAAAAAACTGCCTGTTTCATATTTGTCAGTTTATCATGTAAGTGTAATTAAGAAATGTTATAATTAATAGAGAATATTCTTTGCAGAGAAACTCCTTTCCTGGTTTTCTTGCATAATTTTAAGTTTTCTGTCTGACAAATAATATATCGAAATTCAAAATACTAATTTTTTGGTTGAGACATCTGTGTTGAGGCATTATCTTTTCATGCCACACTGGAAAGGGAAGAAAAATCCTAGTAACTTCCTAACAAAATTCTGTTATGATTAATTATTGAGGAAGCTTACAGTATTTAAACTAAGCTGGGGAAAGAGAGTAAAAGAAAAAAAGGTAAAGTGAATTTTCTCTTTATATTGAACAAAATGCTGTCTAATTCACTAATAATTTCTAATAATAATATTTCTATAAAGTTCAAAATTTGGAAATCTAATATCCAAACCTCCAGACCACTATCAATATTTTTCCTTTGTTTTACAAAGCTTAGGAATGGTGAATGTGAGTACAAAGTAAGTAGGCTGCAAATGCAATTTTTCTACCCTTTAACTGAAATTGCTGCATGTCACCTTTAAACACCTGCTGGTTAGAGAATTGCTCTGTGGCTCGTATACACTGATTCAAAAAAAAAAAAAAAAAAAAAAATGAAAGGTTTCAGATTTTAAATTACGTACAAAGAGGCATTTTTTTAACATTTGTGGTTTTCCTTTATTTATTAAATATCATGTTCTTTGCACTTAAACCAAAAAATTCAGTTCAACAACAATGTCGCAAAATAATTTTAAAATGAGCATATCTTTAGAATTTCTGATATACATTTCCACGTGCAAAAGATAAAAAAGTTCCCCCCCCCCCGACTCAAATTATGCCAAACTGCCAAGTTTTGTAAAAATTGCATGAGTAGTTTTTAAAAATTACCTCTCAAAATTTTAGCTCCTCAATGTTAACTGAATTTGATATATATTTATTAATATCTCTTTTTTTATTAAACTTGATTATTCTTTTCGTATTTTGAAATTTATGTTCATTCCAAATAAAATTCGCCAATTTTTTATGATTTATTTTTAAAATTTGTATTTTAAAATCATTTTTATACATTTTTCAAAAAAAATGTGAATTATAACCTATACAGTTTTTGCCATCATCTTAAAGTTGATGTATTCCTAAGCATACCTTTATTTTATACCTTAGTTTTTTTATTCAAAATTTCCTAAGATATACATGAATTTACATTTTGGAGCGTTTTGAAATTTGGCGTATTTATGATAAGCGATATAATAACGAAAATGTGGTGCATTTTGTTAAAATTATTTGAAGGTGTGAACAATGACTTTTTCCCCCGCTCGTGCACAAAGGAAAATAGGTTGCTATAAATTAAGAAGTTTGCTAAGTGAATTATTCTTGGTGCAAATTGCAAAAAATTTGCCTAGATAAATTTTTAAATTTCTTACTAAATATTACAAAGTTTAATATCTAGGCATAATTTGAGTCTTAGAATCGAAATATGGAAAAAAAGTAGAATTTTTTGTCAAAATACTTATGTTAGAACAATGCTGTATATAAATCTAATATATATCCCAAGTCGTGCCTTTGATACATGGAGAACGCAATCTGAATTTCATCAGTCGGCCCAGTAGAATGGGAGATAAAGAACTGTTCTCCCTCCCCAATACATTAACTCAATGAAGAGATCAGTCTCTTTTTTTCTCAGAGTTGTCAGTTAATTTGTATGATTATTTTGATATGCTGTGATTGTTTTTGGTATAGCAACTAGAAGAAATGTTGCCAAAAGTTTTTTTGCAACAATATGGCTCTCCTGTCGTCAGGCTACAAATGTACGTGTTCCTTGATGAAATATTCACAGAACGTTAGATTGGGAAAGGTGGACCAATTTCATAGCCACCTCTTTCTTAGGTTGTCAGACCGCTCAACTACTTTTCCTAGAGATACCCAAAGAACCGAGTTTATGTTGCAGAAATTTGCAGTATCAAAGAATTAAAAAATTGAAACACCATAGAAACAGCTACTGTGACTCCACAAAATTTTCCAGTTTATCTCTGTGCCATTGCTTTACATGGGTTTAACATTCTGCATTTAGTTTGTTAAAATATTATTCGTATTTCTAAATAAGTTCAAAGTTTTAATTAAATCACAAGTATCAAGTAGCATAACGTAAAAAAATAAAATAAATAAAGATACATCAAAAATTTTTAAAAAATTATTTTACTAATGTCTTGATTTTTTCTTCATAATACTTATTGCCTGAAGAAAACTTTAATGCTTTAATGATTTTCTTGAGGCATTTTTCAAACATAACTACAGTTGTCTTCCCTTTTTTACACTCCTCAAAAGTGAAATTGCAACGCCAAGAAAGAATGCTCGTAGCGTCATGCAAATTGCAGGATCAAGAGTTACGAGATGAATATGCAAATGATTAAAAAAACAGACACATAAAATTATTAAAAACCAATTTATTTAGTATCTAATCTGCCCACCTCGGTCAGTGATACAGGCCGCAGTCCGGCAAGGCATGCTATCTTTGAGGTTAGACACTGATGGTTGCCTGGGGCAGCCTTTGTCAAGCCACATCCACTGACGCACGCAGATTATCCAGGGTTTGCGACCGTGTTCCTTTGTTAATGTCACGTCCAATGACATCCCACAGGTGTTCAACTACCAGCCAGGGTAGGATGTCAAATACGGTCATTCTATCAAGAGTACACCGTGCGACATGCGGTTTGGAATTGTTTTGCTGAAATACCATGTTGGATGCACCCTGCGACTAGTGCACAACAACGGGCTCCACAACTTGCATGACGTGGCAGTCCGGTGTCAGACTGATGTTAATGTGTACCAGGCATGTCTTGTGATCAAACATTATACCACTCCAAACCATAATCCTGGTGCACGACCGGTGTGATGCGAAATGGGCTATTTCCTAGCGCTTTCCGAGTCGCTGCCATATGCGTCGACGTCCGTCATTTCTCCACAGGCACAAACGAGATTCATCCATGAATAAAACCTGATGCCATTCAATGGGGCACGCTTTACGACACTACGTTATGACATTAAAGCATTAAAGTTTACCACACCAGGTGTCTAGTCTTTTGTTCAGCAGTCAATGGTACCGCAGTGGCTGGTACCCGTTAACGTAAGTGTACTTCATGCAATTTATTGCATATAGCTTGGGTGGACACAGATCCATCTGCTCCTGGAAGCAACCGGTTTCGGATGTCACGTGACGAGAAGAAAGGGTCTCCAATAGTTGACCGCTGAATACGTCGATCTATGCTCTCTGACGTGCACCTGTGTGCTCCACTTCCTCTTCAATGAGGATATACACCTTCCTGGAATCCATCGTGTAACACAACATTGGATGGTATTCACATTGTGCACAGCGACAAACCAAGTTCAGGGAGTTCGGTAATGGGTTCTTGTTCCCTGGTTGTCAACTGATGGTATTGAGCCGATTGAGCTCTCCTGACGTCTCAGAGGCATTTTTTATGCTTCTTTTAACATCTCCAATGCTCCTTAAACCCTCAGATGCTGTTTAGGAGAAAGGAAAGTGGCTGACCTTTATAGCCCGCATACCACGTGATCCAATGCTTGTGCAACTTTTATCATTTGCATATCCACCTCACAATTCTCGCTCCTGCAATCTGCATGACGCTACGTGCATTCTTTCTTGGTGTTGCAATTTCACTTTTGAGGAGTGTATTTTCTGTATACTATACTCACTTTTGATAAGGTGTTTTTGGAACATTCATATGATTACAGATGTTGCCTACCGATATAGCGGTATTTGAGTAAAATAATGAAGCCATTTTGTACTTTTCTTTGGATAAACTCTTGAATCTTCAATAAATCTGGCTGAGGTATCAAGGTTCATACGGTTTTTAAGAGTCCTTAAAAGCCCTCAATTTCAACAAAATTCTGCAGGAGTTCCTTAATTTCAATCATCTAAAATTTGTGTCTGTTTTTGCAACTGGCATTTTGAATGTGAATTAGCATTTTGACGATTCATTGAAAAATATAGTTATCTTTTGAATAGCTGAATAGGTTCATGGATTCTCTGCTGAATGCTGGTAGTTTGTTCCTGAGTTTAACCTAGGTGAGCCTCACCAGTGGCTGAGTTATTACACCTCAGAATACTGGTAGTTCAACCTTTGTTAGGTTCGATCCGAGGAGAATGGGTTGGCTGGATGAGCGGTTTATTTTATTTCTCCATATATAATGTGAATATGAGCCAGTTTCTTCGGGAAGGCATATTCCTCTTAGGCTGATAGCCCTCATGGCTTTGCCATATTCAGATAACCTAACTTAACCAATGCTGGTGAATACATTGCCTGCATGCTTTTCATGATTTCTTCTGTGTGTAGGTTGAATACAAGCCATTTTTCTTTAGAAATTTCTCCATGAAGGCATCCCTTGCCTTAAATATATAACGTCTGTGTACTTTACCATATTTAAATAACCAACCAGTTTAATTTTACACAGTTTTTATTTAAGAAAAACCTGACCTCTAGATATTCAACCCCTGCTCATTTCTTACTCCCAACAGGTATTCAGAAAACTCTCTTCACTCTGGCCTCACCTTTAAGTTACTACCAAAAAATTCTTGCTACACATTCCGTATTTCATTTAAATCTAAAATCCTTAGTTGCATTAATTAAATCAACAGTATTGACCCAAATGGCGATCTACTGAATTTTGTTAATTAGTTAATCAGTTTTATGCTAGAAAACACCACCTCTTTTTCAGACTATTTTGTTTGTAAAAGCAATGTTTATGCTTCTCATTTCTTTCATATGGGACTTTTCCGTTGAATTTGCGAAGAGTTTTTAAAATACTGTCTTCGAATCTTTGTTATCGATTTACTCTCAAATAAATTTCACGTTTACATTACAAAGAATTGAAATAAGAAGCAAATGAAATAAATGTTATCTTAAGTGGCAACAATGTTTAATTTATTTCTCTTATAGTCAATATCTCTTTTTTTAATACTCTGCGTACAACAAACTGTTTGTAAATAGGTATTGAAACAACTAAACATAGCTATACAAAATCGGGTATATCTTATCTGTTTCATTGACTATATATGTGAAATTCTTGATGTAATTTATATCCATAACATTTAGGGCTCACTTTTAATTTTATTAGTATTGAATAATTCATTCAAATATTTAAACCATCTAATCTATTTTTTAAAAAAGTGTCATCCTTTTATTTGCTCACTAAAAGATTCCTTACATACACCATAAAACATAGCAAAAGAAATAAATATTTTGAAAAATGTAAAAAATTAATATTAAATAACAGTGAATCTGATCATGCAAATTTGAATAAAATGGCAAGGGAAAAATGTAAAAACAGCAATTTAATTGGTGCTACCTATCGATTCGTAAAGTAACTGCACACTTAAGTAAGGTAGATCGCCTGTTGGGAGAATACCAAGTCAACATTGCATTAAATTCTGTATGTAGTGTATGTTAATAGCATTAAAATCATATACAGTACAAAGTCCATAATCCGAACTCGTCGGAACTTCAGTGATTCTGGATTAGAGTTTTTCCCAGATTATAGACCATCGATTAAAATCTGGTAAGATGGCATGCAGAAATTATACAATTAAAAATATGAAACCGTAATTTTTGAAATAAAGAGCAATTATGATCTAAAGGGTATCACAATTTACAAAAAAAAAAAAAAAAAAAAAAAAAAAAAAGCTTAATATTTATTCTTCTTGGGAAACATTCTATCAATGTAGTTGTTAAGTTGCTTGTTTTTGTGTAATACTTCTCTTAATTTCTATAAACAGACATAATTTCTTATTCATTACAAAGTTCCACTGTTCAAGTCCTGTAATTGCTGTATCGAGAATACCGACTAACTTGTCAATTAAAATTTTTTCATTTTTAATAACGTTCGCTGTTACTTTCTTCACTATCGGAAGCGCACATGAGTAAACGCTTTACTGGCTTCATGCACATGCGTAGCGGGCACGCGCATTAAACGCGCATGCGAAAGTTTGTGGCTTTGAGGTACGGATTATAGATCATTCCGTATAATGGGCGTCCAGATTACGGACTTTGTACTGTACAAATCTTTTTATAAGCCGTGTATAATTTAGAATGTGCAGATATATATATACAAGGGCGAGTCAAATGAAAGTGAGCCAATGCGAATATATGACAAACAGAGTACTTTATTTAAAAGTAGTCTCAATGAACATTGAGACATTTATCCCATTGACAAATTGCCGCGTGGATCCCGTTCATAACACTCCTTGGCTGCATTCAAAAAGTCTGTAAACCGACCCCTTCACGCGGCATCCTCACACTTTCGCGCCACTTTCATAAATGAAGGCTGTTCTGTACTACGCGCATGCATGATGGACCGAACCATTCTTGCTGAGGAGGGGTTGGCTCACTTTTTGAACTACTTATATATTGCAATTCAATCGCTTTTTAATGTGTTTTCTTTAGCAAAAAACAAATGCTCTTTTATATATATATATATATATCATTTTGAGTGTGTATGTTTAAAAATTTTCTATTAATAGTATCAGACTTCTGCAACTGCATTTCATTTATGCTTATTATAAAAATTTGTTTTGAAATATATTTATTTAAAGAATTACAGTTAAATTTTGCCAACTGTGTAACTGAATTTATTTTTTATAAGAAGTGATATCTGATATCTTTGTAATCATTGGTTTTGAGAAATATCCTGGTTATGTAAATAACATGAATGTTGTTATATTTCTATCCAGCTATGAGATGTTGAGTTTTCATCTGTATGCTTAGACTGAAATAAATGTGTACAAAAATAGCAGAAGAAATCTGGAAATTTTATGTTCTAAAAATAATTAATATTTTTCACTTATTTGCTGAATTCTTACATATCTGCATAATTTGCCTTTTTAAAATATTTATGATTATGAGAAAAAGTGCTGTGTGATATAAAATACTTGGATCGTACAGAAATGATTGACACAATGGCTCACATAACAAAACTCTTACACTATTGCGAAGGGAAAACAAGTTAAATCGACACAAAGGGGCGTGAGCTACTCAAATTGCATGGATGGAACTGGCTGCAAGTGAACAGTTAAGTCGGTGCTGTCCCTTTCGCCATCATCATTGAGAGTGTCGACAGCAATGGTGGAAGGTCATTATCACGGTCAGCATGATAGCATGGTTCTTATGGAAGGAAGGAATACAGGGTAGTGAGATCCATCTTCACGTGGTGTTCAGGAATAAAGCACGTTAAAGGCGTACCGTATGCCGTTGGTTGGCTAAGTTCAGCAGTGGAGGAGACTGCAGCCAATGGTGTCATCTTGTGCCAAAAGTGTGGAACGACCAGCAACATTGCATACAGCAGCAAATGTGGCAAACTTGTCGGATTTGATCATGGCAAACAGGCACATAATGTTAAAAAAGATGCAGGAAGAGATAGGGCTTGCGCAAAAAACATTGCAGGCAATTGTGCCTGGTGATTTGGCGATGACAAATGTGTGTGCAGAGTGGGTGGACCTCGAACTGCGCCTTGCTTGACAAGATGAAGGATGCAGTCAGGGGCCAACATGTTGAATCTTCTGCTCAATTGCATGCAGTTGTCCATAGGTGTTGCACTAACACCCCACAGACTGATTTACCAAAGCACTTTGGGACCTCCAAGCCAGATGGCAGAAGTGTATTGACATACGCGAGGTTATTTCTAACTTATGTACTATCAGTTTTTTGTTAATAAATTGTATTCTGCTCTGTGGCAGCAATTGTATCATTCATTTCTGTACAATCTAAATATTATTTATAAATTTATTTATTAAAAATGATTTTTCAGGTTTGACATACCTCGGAAAAAAGAAGATTTCTTTTCACCTGCTCAAAGAGCTAGGATAGTCCAGTTTATTTTAAAACGAAAGAGCTTTACTAATGACCATACTGATATATTTGGTTTTGGTGTGTATATTTTTATTGAAGATACTTATTATATTGCTTATTAGTTGATTTTAAGAGTAATAGACAATTTAAATTAAAATTTTCTTTTATGTGTTTATGTCATGTTTATATTATGTAATACTAATTTTCTTGTATATGTTTTCTTCTATGTTATATATATATAACATAACTTTGTATAATATAACTAAAGTATTTTATGTTTTCTTCTAATTTTCGTTATTGTTTAAATCAACGAGTGTTATCCAATAATGACATCAGCTATTAGTTTTTTTTAGAATTTTGAAACAAGTAATAAAACAGTTATTTCTCTGCATAAAAATTTAATTGCTTGTAGATAACCTTTTTGCTATAAAAGCAACTGTTATAAAAACATACTCTTTTGTTCTGGAAGTGCATTTTTATCTCATTCTGCTTGGATGATGGTAGAACAAAACTGATCATAATTATTGACTTTGATTATTGAAGCTCCAAAAAAAAAGTTAAACTGCTCTGCAATTTTGAAAAAGGTTGTGTGATGTTTTAAAGATATGTGTATTTTTTTAAATTTCAGAATTTGACAAATAAATATGTATCTAGCGTGAGAAATTTTTGTAAATTTTGAACATTTAATGAAAAATAAACATGTTTTGTTAAAAGTGGATCATCTAAAGTTATAGAACTGTATTGGGATTAAAAAGAATGTAATATAGCCTATAAATCTTTATCACAGTAACTACTCTCACTAGTAAGTCTAAATGGAAGTAATCAATAGAGTAACACCCCTTAGTTGGGTGAAAGTTTTATTCTGACTTTGTTTTTGGCGAATGTTGGCCTCAGAAAAGACAAACAATGTTGCAAAGAGAATTTTATTGTAATCCAAAAATGTATTATCACCAGCACACTTTTAAATGAGCTAAAATGGAACATTCATTAAAGGCATTTAATGCATTTCTTTGATACCCCCCCCCAAAAAAAAATTGGTTTAGGACTCGTTTCTGTGACAACAGACAACTGTTGGTGTTACTTCAAGAATGCTCTTGTGCTAAACAGACAGTACCAAGATCACAGGATAGGGTAGAATTTGAAGATAATCTTGACTCATTTAACAGAAACTAAATTGCTTTCACCTGTTTTATTTGAATAGTGGATATTGAGCTGGTCTTAATAATTAAGACACAATAACACGCCGAATAAATGCTAATTCAGAAGTCAAACAACAAAAATCAGCATTATATTTTCAAAACTAGTCCTGCGAAAATTTTGAAAATATAACGCTGATTTTTGTTGTTTGACTTCTGAACTAGTCTTAATAGTCTTAATGCTATATTGATAATAATTTTTAAATATTTTGGAGACATTTTTAGTATGACATCAGTGTAATCTTTTTTTATTATGAATCAGTTATAGCCACTTGCTTCAAGAAACATCAGGGAATTGGCAATATTGATATATCCAGTGAAAAATCTCAGCCAAAAGATGCTTTTGAATATCCCCCCAAGACTTTACAAATAAAAAGTTACAGAATTGGAAAATATTTATGATGTGTGTGAAATAAGTTTGTTATTTTGATTTCAGCTGTAGCTGGAGCTAACAAAACATCTGCTTATGTCCCCCCCTCCCAAAAAAAGGAATGAACCAGTTATTGGCGATTAGAAAATCCAAATATTCTCAAACATTGGCAAGTATAAAACATGTCCCCACAGTTTATAAACATCAGAGGAATGGATGGATGGATAAGGATACTTTCTTTAGAAAAGCATTTTTGTACCATTACTGTTTAGAAGGCATTTTTATACCATTTGCTGTAAGTGAATCGGAAGCTATAAAGAAAAATATTGAAAGTTGTTTTTATACATTGAAAACTGTCAAATGCATTATAACAAAGAACTATGCTGTAGTACTATCAGAATTACATTTTTTTCTTCTGAATGTAACTGTTTTTTGCAGATGCAGAGGATCAATTATCCAGAATTTTAAATTGATCTGTTTTAAAAATTTAATGAGCAGTATTGTAAATGCTGAACATTTCCTAATATTCAATCTACATTTTCAGTAAAAAATACTACAGTCAAAAGTCGTTAATCCGGACTCCTCGGGACTTCGGCGATTCCGGATTATAGATCATCAGTTTAAATCTGGTAAGATGGCATGCAGAAATTCTAAAATTAAAAATATGAAACCGTAATTTATGAATAAAGAACAATTATGATCTAAAGGGTATCAAAATTTACAAAAAAAAAAAAAGCTTAATATTTATTTGTTACTAAAAAGCTAATATTTATTTGTTTACTTATTAAACATTTCTTTTAATGTAAGTTGTTTAAGTTGCTTTGTTTTATGTGATAATACTTTCTCTTTAATTCTATAACAAACATAATTTTTGTTCAGTTACAAAGTTCCGCTGTTCAAGTCCTGTAATGCTGTGCCGAGAATACCAACTAACTTGTCAATCGAAATTTTTTCGTTTTCACTAACCTCTCTGTCACCTTCTCATGTCTTTAACCATTTTTGCAGCAATTCCACTTTTTGTTTGATGGACATCGAAACATACTTTCGTTTGGGTAGATCCTTTGGGAGCTCCAGCATCGGAAATTCTATTTGACATAATCGAAAGTTCAAGTTTACTTTTAAAATTGCTCGAAAGTTCAAGTTTAATTTTATAAAATTTGCTCTACAGTCTGCAAAAAATAATAGCCAATCCAATTCGAAATTAAGGAACAATGCAATCATCAACATTAACTGAAATAGATAATTAGATAATTTTAGCTTATACCGTCCGTTATACATAAAACGTGCACGCGAAAAACGTATTCTGGCGCTGCGCACACACGCATATGCGCATTCGTAAAGGTCTTTCGTGCACGCGTTAATGCCCATGCGCATGTGTCAATGCATCGCATGTGCAGAAAGTTTTTAGCTTTGAAGTCCGGATTATAGATCATTCCGGATTATGGGTGTCCGAATTAACAACTTGTGACTATATATACAAATTTGTAAATGCTTGAATTCCATTATAAATTGGATACTTAGGAGGGATAATAGAAAATTTTATTTTCATTGAAACTTTTATTCAAGTTCATCTAGTGAAGAATTGGGTAGATTTTAAATGAAAGAACAAGGACTGACAAAAAATGTTAAAAGCTAGTAGTAACTTAACAAGTAGAAATAAAAGTGAATTCATTTCTAGACTAATAACATATGAAATAGAAGCATGGATTGATTGCAACAAAAATTAGTCCATAAAAAGAATGTTAACAGAAGATGGTTTAAATAAAAATGCATTGTCCCAAGAAGAAGTAGGAAAAAATTCTGTTTATGACAATCTGAAAAGGAAACTGCTACAAAAAGAATTTCTTAAGAGTGATGCAGAGAAAGATTTTTCTGCTATTCTGGCAGCTTTTTGAGAAAAATTCTGTGTACACCAAACATGAAAATTAAGAACTATATCTCTTTAGAGAGATATTTATCAAAAAAGAAAGAAACTTTCCATGAAACAGACATTCATAATTTATTCAGTTGCATGTCAACTGCATCAAAGTAGTGTTAATGTATCAAAGATTTTAAGCATTCTTTTAATTCTAGAAAATTATAAAATAAAATTTTTCTGAGTTTTATGAAGTACATTTTGAGAAAATTCCTTATATTTATTTAAAAAATTTTCATGATTGAATAAGATGTTTCTTATTTTTCAGTATTTAAGTTGTAATAATTAAGGATTGTTCTTATAATGTTAATTTGGAAATTTCTTCTTCCATTCATTTGGCTTTTCTACCATAAACTGCATTCTTTACATACTCAACTACTTATAATTTTCACATATCCAGAATTTGGCATTTTCTAATTTATCTGGGTAGTAGAATTTTTACTGTTTGTATTTTGTGTTTATCCCATAATCTTCCACTGTTTTGTCATTTAGCCTCAGGCTTGCTATTCAACCTTAGCTTTTGAATCTGAGATCCAATAAAAAAATTTTGTCCTGGCATTCAACTACAGAAGGAAATTTGCTACAATTAAGAATGCGTGAATAAATAACTTGCAAGAACACAAATTCTAATTTTAAATTGTTAAATCATTAATATAAGTTTTGGTTTCATTATGGAAAAGCTCTTGAGAGCTTGGCAAATAGCTCTCAAGAGCTTTTCGAAGGGCTAGGTTGGAAAGCCGTTAGAATTTGTGCAACATTTTTGTCAGGAACACAAAGACCGCAGTACTCTTTACATACACATCCTGTATTTACAAACTGTCGGTACCATCTGCGACTGTTCCACCCATTTGGAGGATCACTTTGGTACCTCAACTTGAAACGTCTTTGAACTGTAATCACGGAATTGCACTCCGCAAACTCGAGAACACAAAAGGATTTCTTGTGCGGAGTAGCCATTTTAAACATGTGATGGTTACCATGCAAAACAGAAGACAACTGACACCTAGTGGCTATTAATATAAACTAGACTATGTATTCGTTTCGCCAATGACCGAGCCGAGGCGCAGGGATCGATAATTTAGACAAAATAACACTTTGTAATATGTATTTTCTTTTTGAAGCATGGTGTTGTATAGTTGTGTTATATTATTTTTAATTTTTACCGTATTTTAAAACTTTTTATTTTGTATGATTTGTATATTGCAGTTTTCTTTTTATGTGATTAAATTGTGTTAAAATTTTGTGCATAGGGTTTTCGTATGACATAAAGGGTGAGTAGCTTTTTCTGTTTTAGCAGTTGAATCTTGGTAACTCTGCATTATTTAGAGGGTGTTCCATCAAACGTGCCAATTTAATATGCCCAACAAAATACAGGGTTTGTACGGTCCTTAAGAGTCCTTAGATTTTTTGGAATTGATTTTTGGTTCTTAAAAGTCCTTAATTTTGCCCAAAATCAGCAGAAAGTCCTTAATTTTAATCATCTGAAATTTGTGTCTGTTTTTACGACTGCCATTTTGAGTGGGAATTAGCGTTTTGAAGGAATATTTTTGGCGATTCACTGACGTGTATGCAAGAAGTGAAACATAAGAATTTCGAAATTCATTTTTCTTAATAAAAAGCTCTTAAAAACTTTTCGCTTTTGAGGATGTGAATTCTTGTACAAAATGGTTCTAAATTTGGCAAAGAAAGAGTACTTACAATTTTGTTGATTTTAAGATCAGTTTCTATAGAAAAGTTTTAATTCTGAGATCTGAGAATTTTTCAACGATTTTTTAAATAAAAAATCATAACATTGATAAACTTAAAATAATGGTAATATATTGAAATTATATTTAAAAAATAACATTAAAATAAAACATTTTTATTTTTTGCTGTCACATTATAAAGTTTCATTTTGGCAACTTATGCAATATTTTAAATCTGAAAAATAAAGAATGTATAATGCTATAAAGTACAATTTACGAAACAGCTCTCAGCAAAAGCAAAATTAGCTATGTAATTTTAAATTTTTCATGGTAAGAGTTTTTCTCATGTAATTGTCTCAGAATATTCAAAATTCTTTGAATGTGCATCAGTTTTCTCTATAAAATTAATTTTACACTCCCCCCCCCCTATTTTTTCCAAAATATTTCTGGTCTTTTTGCTGTTACAGAAATGGTAGGGATAATTTTTCTTTAGGATTTTAGACATTGCAGCTTGGAAAGTTTAGAAGGATTTGAAGGCAAGATTTATCGACACACGATTCTAGAAGATTCAAGAAATATGTGACAAAATGAAAAATGTCTCCATGGTATCAACACGTAATGGATGTATTTTACAGAAAGTTTGTGATGAATTTCTTACATTTTGGAGAACGTCTGAAAGAACAATGAAAACATAATCTTTAAATGTTTTACTTCTGTTACAATCTTAACATGTTTATCTTCTCTTTATTTTCTCTACTGTTCACTAGACACCAAGCATGAAAAATATCAAAAATGCTTCTAATCTTATCATATGGACAGCCATTATAGATAGGAATTTTTTTTATTAATAAAGAAATTGAAAACTTACAATTTAAAAGATTCATCTAATATGCCTTAATGCATCATACATGTAGCTGGAAATAGGCATTTTCCCACTTGATGCAATCTCTGTGGATCCTAAACTCTGCTGCTTAGTGCCTTTCTAAATTCTGCTTCCAATGCCTGCTCTAAATTGTAAAAGTTTTGCCATTTCTAGATTTTGTTGTTCAGTGTGTCACTAAATTCTAAAAATTCTGCCACATCAACTCTGTAAAATGGCCTTTACCATATATATTTCAAATTTCTTCTAAATGTTCATATTACTAAAGAAATCAAATTAGCCGCTTTTTCTTTACATTCTAAATGCATTTAGTGTTTTTTAGAATAACAGAAATCCTTAATTACATTCTAAAATGAAAAGGAAACACGTTGAAGAAAGAAACTGAATACATAAAGAAAATTATTCTCTAAAGATATGTGCAGTTATGTCTCCATGGTATCAATTAACCTTAAAGTATGTCATTTTAACCTTAAAGTATATTAACTAGGTTACAACCCCTGGAACTCTACATGAAGCTACGACACTAACTGCATCAAACAGAGCCTGACTAATTTTCAACACTCGCCAACTGTGCCTACATCAGGCTTTTCAGGTTTGTTCTAATCAGCAGGTCTCGCTCTAGACAAGCAGCAGCGATGATAGCATTCAGTCTTTTGTTACGAATCATGCTGATTATGATCTTACTTCTCATTTTAACCTATGCCATTTGACATAAAATGTACCTGCTATTTACTAAACCTCTAGACTGACCAAGTATGAGACAAAATGAGAATTTTTTTTTTTTTTTTTAAATAATATAAAGCTAACTGTTAGCAAAACATAAATGTCACTTAACTTCTTTTACATATGACCAACTATTACAAGTTTAAAATATTTAATGCTACTTGATAAATTGAATAAAGTTTATTTTATCCTCAAACTTATTAATAATTATGTTAATTAATTCATGTTTAGTAATAATGCATACTACTTAGGAATTACAAAAGTGAAATTCAGGCATAGGTAATATTTTTAATTGAATTTATTCAGTTCGCATTTGCTCATAGGTCCTTAATTTTTTCATTAATGGTCCTTAAAAGTCCTTAAAAGTACTTAATTTTCGTGTGCAGAAATGTGTATGAACCCTGAAATACTTCATTTTTTGAAAATGGAAAATATTTATATATCTATATACAACAGCTGAATGTTGAATATAAGAATGAAAAATTTTGTATGGCTCCACAACTTGCTCTACAATAACTCGCTTTCTCAATGAAATTCATAATCACTTTTCACGTACTTGCTTGTCAGGGTGGTTAATAACAATTTTCTCTTTAAGTTATTTTGTTACATCTCTTTAAGTCTGTATTTTTTAGGACTTGCAATAACACTGCCATACACAACAGTGATGTTATCACCAGACAAACTGGATGAACAGGTGGTGATTGAAAATCTGCTCTCAAACTTGTATCCTTAGATTTATTCATTAGTCTGCAAACTGTTGTTAAGTGCAATTTCTCATCCAAAGACTGCTGAAAACTTCCTAATAGTTTGTACATGAATATTTGTTATGTTTTTGTAATGACTTTGCACAATCAAAACTCTTTGTTCTTTTGTGTAATGGCTCCATATTGGCTCAGCTGCAATGAAGCTGTGAAATGAATTGACAGCAATAAAATACCATCAAATCAAACTCAGCATTCTAAAATTGGAACATTTATTTATTGTAAACAATTACATTAAACAAAAGTAAGTATAAAAACTTTTTTTTTTTTTTTTTCCATTTTCTAAAAATAAAGTTTTTTTGGGGGATGAGCATATCAAATCCAGTGTTTTGTGGGGCATCCTGCACTTTTATGTTCTACCTCCATAAATATTACATTTATAAACTTTCATAATATGATTAATAATCAGGAAGTTATAAAAACATATTGATGGTGTATTTTCTGTTCCATTGGCATCTGCTGTGTGAAACATAGCCAAATTAAGGAAGATGATTATTACTTTATGTTAATTTAAATAAATGTTGTATTCAAATTATTTTGATGCAAATAGTGATACTTGTAAGGAAGTATAAATTAGCTCTTTGTACTCTATTTCCTATTTACTTTCAGGCATAAAGAAGTTACTAGCTGATGGTATTTATACTGCTGCATATCCATTGCATGAGGTACAATTATTATTTTTTTCTCTAAGATTTTAACATTTTATCTTATATGCCTGTAAAATATTTGACCTTGCATCCTAAAATATTTATGAAAAAATTCATTTCTTTTTCTATTTACTAGGGTGATCTGAATGATTGTTCACCTACTAATCCTCGCTATTTCTTGCTGAAACACTGGGCTTCATATTCCTGTTTATTTAAAACACAACCCTTGGATGAAATCAAGTATTCATCTATATGTAGTTCCTTTTTGTTTTAAATTTAAATTGAATACTTGTATTTTCCAATTTCATTTTCAAAATACTAATATAAATGTTACTAAATATTAATGGAGTGTATTTTTCTTTCTCATATATATATATATAAATTTTTTTAAAACCTGCTTGTTTTGAAAAAAGTTATTTAAAACTCTTGCATAAGTATTTAGACACTTTGAAACAGGGCTCGAAATAATGGTCACCAGCTTGCCATTGGCAACTAAGAAATTGCAGCTGGTGAGTAGGATATGTTAACCTTGGAAATGTGTGTATAATACTTCTCACAATGTATTTATTTTTCAATAATTTATTTATACTGGCTTTCTACTATTTATACTTGTGCTACATTTTCTGTCTTTAAATGTAAAATAAATTTCTATATTACGTGATTTATGGTTCATTGGGACATAAATGCTTAAGCAACAGGTTCATGATTAAAGCTTTCCCAGCAAGATTTTCAAGGTAGGTTTTGATTGTTGCTTTTCAGTGCTGGGAATGGTCAAAAGCATTAGGAAATAAAGGTCACTTTGCCATTTACGTTCCATTGCTTCATGCTGAATACATGTGGTTGTGAAGTATTTTGTGAACTTCTAAAATATTTTGCTGATTTCTGTAATAGCCATTTATTGAAATTAATGATATTTATTTCATTGCATGAAACTAATGTTGAAATGTAGGTGTATGTGTGATATTTTGACATGGTTCTTGTGACTAGCGTACCACATGATACTTCACTGGCTGAAATGTAATAAACATATTTACTTGGGAATTCATGCAAATTTTTCTCTCATTGATCATGGCCTAGAGAAATAAAAAGGTATCTTGTTATTTTTCAAAGAAATGTATTTGTCATGTGAGTCTACTGTGCGGTGTGGCCGTGAATGTTCTGAACAGGCTGTTCTAACCGATTGTGATGGTGGGGGGGGGGAAGATAAAAGCAAGAGGCAATTCAGTCGTAGTGTTATGAATTTCAGAGGTTATCATATGAAAACAATATCATTTGGTGCAAAGTATGCACACAGTATCTGGAAATAGCAGATAAGTACTTGTGGGTTGTACAAGGTTGCAGTGAGTTATTCAAATTAGAAACTTTCAAGTTGTACTATCAATTTTGAATGCACAAAAACTGCTTACACAGCAGTTATATATATATATATATATATATATATATATATACCAATTTTTGTGCTTATAAATATAGCTGTAGAAACTCCAAAGTCCACACCATTAGCAGTGTGTGATAGAAAATGAATGAAAGTTATCTCAGTATTTAGAAAACTATTTAACATACCTAGAAAACTATTTAACATAGCTTATTATATTGCAAAGCACAATCAGTCATTTTTTGATTTTAAAAATTTGGTTAAGCTTCTTAATAAATTTGAAGTAGGTGTTATTATCAGCAAATATCAAAATGACAAAAAGTGTGGGAAGTTTATTTCTCATATAGCAGCTTTTATCCATAAAGAGCTTATTGCAGAAATTTTAGATTGTATTGAGTTGTTTGAAAAATCATGACACATTTTTTTATGTTGCTCAGAGGTCTTTTATATATATAAAGAATGATCATTATCAGTAGTATGTTGCTCATTTTGCTCAGTAACATTTTACTTTCTTTAAGGAGCTTTGTAATTACTCATTCACAAAAGAACCTAGCTTTATCAGTAGAAAGCTGAATATGGTGCTGATTCACTCCCTCATCTCAACTGTATGTTATACTACGAAAGAAATTTTGAAGCTAGGAAAATAAGTGAAAGTCTGAGGGCATAGCGAGTATGATACACATGGCAACACTTTTCATCCAAATTCCAAAATTTTCTTTTGTTTTTATGTTAATAATTAGGTTTAATAGACATATTTATATAAAATGGGATTTTTCTTGTCTGTGCAAAAATAGCAAAATCTGTAAAGTGTTAACTAAGGACAAAATAACTTTTATCCTGCACATTATTATTAAAAGTGGTGATTATATTTATTAAAAACATGGAATACAAATTATTTAAAATATTAGAAATAATCATCATATTAAACTATTCTTGATTATTTTAAGAAATTTTTTATGTAAATTCATTTTGATCAAATTAATTTTTTTCATTTAATGACAAAATCTAATTTTATTTTTATAGGCATTATTTTGGTGTGAAAATTGGACTTTACTTTGCTTGGCTCGGTTTTTACACCTATATGCTTATTCCAGCATCTATTGTGGGTATTTTGTGTTTTATTTATGGATGTGTAACTTTGAATTCCAATGTTCCCAGGTGAGTGTAATTTTAACAAGCACTTATAGCTTGAGTAGCAACATTTAATAGTCAAAAAATGTTTGAGTAAAATGACATCCTAAATTAAAGCAGTTTTATGTACAATGAAATATGTATGTTGGTTATCAGTAATTAATTTCATGATTTATTTTCAAGCATACTTAATAATCACCGTTGAGGCAAATGTGTTCTGTCTAAGATGACATTTTTACAATAATATGTGTACAAGATTTAGGAATGCTTGAATAATTCTGGCTCTACAAATTATAGTCATATAGCTTTGCTTGTAAGGTATTGCTTTTTGAGTATGTATATGTTTATATAATTTAGATTCATTTATTTAAGTTGAATGAATAAATAAAAAAAAACTTTGGTAATTTCCATTCTGCCAGTTTTAGCTATTTGGTACAACTCTGATATACGCCCTAATTTCACCAAATGTGGCGATATGTGTTCTGCGCTGGTTTTTGGCACGATTGCATGTTTTATGGCAACCCTGGTGACGTTGAAAAATCTTTCGCTGGAGTTCGTTGGTTCGCGTCATGCTTTGTGTCTGAGAAGCTAGGGGGAAAAGATATAATGGTGAAAATTGTTGAATTGAAGTTCGGCAAAAGGAAATATCGTCGTGGCCATCCTGTTGAGGGGCAATGGGTATTTGGAGGTGTGGAAAGAGGGTATGGGAGATTATTTTTAGTGGCTGTGCATGATAGAAGTAGGGATTTGTGATTATTTGGAACCATAGTATGAATTTTTGGATAGTGTGTCTGGCTGTCATATAAATACGATAGTGATACGTGGCACCATGTTAAAGGCGGTATGAAATTGGTATTTCTGCTGTTCAAAAAAAGCATTAATGGTAAGTGCATTTATTTATTCTTGTTCTTATTTTGTAGAATGTTATGTTCATTGTTTTTTTAGTATGAATTTCTGTCGTTATTGTTTTTTTGAATTGTTTGAAATTTATTTTAGTTATTTTGTTGATTAGTGCGTATCGTCTAAATTGTGCAATTTTTAGATGTTTTTTTAAGTTAAAACATATCGCTATGTACATGGACTCTTGTCAAATAATTTTTGTTAGAAACTTCACGGTTTTGCTATCTAAATTTTTTGTTTTTGTTTTGGATTTTTAGCTTAAATTGTGTGTTCAAAACGTGGTTTTTGCATTCGCGAAAACCGTGTTTTTGTAGACATTTTAGGCTTAAAGTTCGAAATGTAGACAAAAAATTTAAATAGCAATATGGCAGCGTGGAGTTGGCGAGAAATTTGGCGACTTGAGGGCGCATATCAGAGTAGTTCCAGCTATTTTTTAGATGGCTGCACTAAAATTGGTTGTTGTTTGAATCATTTATTTTCCCTGCCATTTTTATCACATGTTCAGATTTAAAAATAGCATTTTAGTGCTGCTATCTAAAAAATAAATAAATAAATGAAAGTGGTAGCTAGCATGCTACGTGATCACAGAAACTCTTTAATTATTATTGACAAGCTGAAAAGTATACTTTTTCTGGTATGAAGATTTTTAAGTTACCGTAATTTCGCGCGTATAGTCCGCGGACTATCTGTGTTTAAAATTGCGAATTTTTGAAGCTGCGGACTATCCACCAGTGCGGATAATACGCTGGTTGTTCACGGTTAAAATTGCTGAAATTTAAAAAACACGCTGTCGTGAACTGTCGATGATCAAATATAAAAAAAGCGCGAGATTCCAAGTATCCTTCGCAATGCTTTAGCACAACTGCCGGGAGGGTGGAAAAGTAGTTGATGCGTCAGCTCGGTTTTAGCACAGCCGACTGACTATAGAGTTGGCTGTGGGTTTTTAGGAGCCATAGTAGCAAGTACCTGGAGTACGAAAAAAAAAGCGTGATTCGTTTACTTATAGCGTAGTATGGCAACACCGAGTGAGTGGGGTCGAAGGTCATATTTCATTACCACTTATCACGAGGATAGCACGTTGCACAGTATTTTGTTTTCGTATTTTGTCTTTCATCTTCGATAACGTTGATGAAACATCACCGGAGATTTACTGCTGAGAGGTAGTTGAGAAAACTGAAAAAGATGGAAATAGAGAAGCGGGCCGTTATTGGTTTAATCCTAGTATCCAGTGCACACGGGATTTGACTACTTTTGACGACTTTATGATGAGCAGTGAAAATGGGACATATACGATGAGTAGTTAACGGGTCATTCAAAGAAAATATATAGTTAAACATAGTATATACTATGTATATAGTATATATACTATGCGTGTATAGTCTATATACTATGCGTGTATAGTATATATATAGACGTTCTTTGGATCATTTTTGGTGTTGGCGATAATTTTCAAAGTCGCGCCAAGGCTGCACAGTATACTAAGATTTTACTCCGTTATTTTGAAGTGGACAAGAAAGCGGTGAGAAATTTGTGCAAACAAAAGGATGTGTTTAAAAAGCATGGGAATATTGCCGTATTAAAAATCGTAATTTCGGACGTATAGTCTGCGGAGTATCCGGTGGTGCGGACTATCTGACAATTTTTAAAATTTTTTTTATATAAAATCGTGTCTGCGGACTATACGATGGTGCGGACTATACGTGCGAAATTACGGTAAATAGGTTAAGCTTTATTTGAACTAATCAATAGCTAAGTGATTAAGTGCATGTAAAACTACTTTTAAAAATACTAAAAACTGAGAATGAATTTAACGTTTACCAGCAGACTATGCTAGAATTTAAAAATAATAATAATTGAACCTTTTAAAATTTTGCATTTTATAATACAAAAGCAATTTATTTCGTGGATGAAATTAAAAATTGCTTAAGTTGTAATACTTAAGAAGCAAATTTAAATTGGTAAACTCGTAAAAGAACAAATGATTTTCGACTCAACATGTTGAAATATGCATTATATTAAAATGCATTTACTTTTCCTGTACAATGGCTAAGGGATAATGCATTAAATCATTGTAATACCAAAACTATTTAGAATTTTTTGTAAATATGCTTTTGATGGAGGTAACAGAATTTTAAGGTTTGTGATATCACTGTCTTTTTATGTGATTTTAAGAGCTGTGGATATATTAGTAATCAGCAGCTTAAATTAACTGTTGAACACCATATTATTTGTTTTTTATACCATTTAATGTGTATTTGAAAAGGCTAATAATTGCTTAAATTTTGTGAAATGATGCATTGGTTAGGAATTGGTTCAGGAATAACATAGAAATGCATAAAAGTTGCAAAAAAATGTTTTATTGATTAAAATCAAATAGCTTTGTTATTGATTAATTATGATTAATAAAAGTCTATCAGCTGAGTACAAATGTGATGTCTTTTCATCAAATGTTGCTGTAAGCTTTTGGAAACTATTAGTGTATTTCAGATGGTATCAAATACCACTGCTACATATTCTTGGAGTTTTTGCCTACTTCATATGCATTAACTTTATCATTTGTCACAAGAATGTTGATCAAATTTCTCCAGAATTGCATTCTTTGCGTCTTTAGGATCATATTGCCATAGTCAAGTTGGATCTATAATTTCACTTAAATGATCTTTATACACACAGTGAACATAGTTTGAGCTGGCTATTGTCTGTTTGGAATGCTGTTATGTATATAGTTGAGCAGCTGCTTTGCCCTTACAGTAATTTATTTCAAAATTGCTGTACATATCAATATTCACCATTGGTATTTACTTCCACGTTGTAAGTTTGCCAGCGAATTGCACAAAAAAGCTGCCTTTGATGCAAGATTTAAAGAATTATTATCAAAATAAGATATTCTGCACAGATTTTCTTGATGTTACCTCTGTAAAATAAAACCTCTTCCTCGATTATTTTGAAGTGAAAAGCAAATTTTAAGTGCAATATTTCCCCCATTTTATTGCCATTCTTTAAGTATATGTTGACTTTTAGTGTAGTAAAAATGACATGCATGTGATAGAACGTGAATTCAATAAATTAATAGTCTTAAATGTTTAAAAAAAATAAAGATTCCCCCCTTAGTTGTTTAAAAAAATGGTTATGTTTAGATTTAAAAAAATGATGCTAAACTGAACTGGCACTTAGGTAATAACCAAAAAAAATCTGATGTGTGACACATGACTTCCTTGTACAGAATATTAAATTATACGCATTTTTTCTTGCATTTCATTTAAACTTATTGGATTGAATTAAATCTACTTCGCCGACAGCGCATAAAACACAATAGAATAAATGCATTCTTTAAAATTCACACTAGTATTTGTTTACCATAGCGACACTCTGGCGCTAGATTCACTTAACAGTATTATATTTCGTTCATATTATAACTCATAATGCACAAAATTTATATTCTGTAGCAATCTTGCTTTGAGCAAGAAGAAAGGAAGGACTTTGATGAACGCCGTTTCCTCCAGTCCGTGAGGAAAATTTATATCATTTAAAGAATGGAATTATCTAATCGTTGCCACATGTTCTATTCAAATACTATAATAAAGCTAGAATGATGTATAAAAGAAATTAAGCAAACAAAACAAAAAAAGAAACAGTTTTTCACAGACGATTGGGTATTTCTCATTCAATTAATTCAGTTCTCGCATCGCGAAAAAGCAAAAATACATAAAAACTCAAAATATCTATATTAAAAATTATGAAGTAAATCTTAAACACTTATTTCCTGGAAAAAATTACAGAAAGGATTAACCATGATTTAATTGGCAATAATAAATGAAGGCGTTATCTTTGTTGTTGCGAAGCTAAGTTTCTCTAGATTGACAACAAATACACTAGTCTGTTGTTTCAAATGTAAGCAATCAATAACCGCCATAAAAAAAAAGGCTTAGCTGGCATTTGGCATCTTATTGATGAAGCAGTATTTTTAAATGTTCACCATAAACTCACTTATTCAATACGCAGTTTAATATAATGATGAGCTAGGTAACAATAGACCTTGAATAATAAAGAAGTTGAATCATAGGAGTCCATAGTCAAGGAAAAAATTTCTCTATAAATACTAGAAAAAGAACTGATGAATCTAACAGTTATGTAATCTGTTTAATAAATAAATAATAATAAATTAAGAGTTAGTTGTTAAAATCCTAGTTAAAGAACTACAGTTAAAGTGTGGAGAAACAATGCTTCTTCCAGCCGTTTGCTAGCTAGTGTTAAAACAGTTTCTGATTGTGAATGCATCCAATGCTGCACAGGAAATTCATCTTAGGTTCAATTTCCAATGGCCAAACAAGCTGGCTGAAAGGGGTATATTTTATACTTAACATAAATAAGAATCAGGTCCATTGGAAAAGGTAAAAGCTATTTAGGTTTTTTTTAAAATTTATTTTAATATTCTGTGAATCAGTATATTATTATTTACCCATAAATTATACCTGTACCATTCTCCATTACATTAATCTGAGGATATAGCATTTGTTTTATTATGATTTCTGCATAGATATTAAAAAGAAAAAAATTTGTTTTTCTTTTAGATGTGTGTATATATTTTCTCTTATTTTTTTCAAATCATGTTTACAACTTGCCTTTTATCATTTCAGCAATGAAGTATGCAATAGTAATTTAGTCATGTGTCCTAAATGTGAAAATGAATGCCGTTATTGGTATCTGAATGAATCCTGTAATGCAGTTAGAGTGACATATTTAGTAGATAATGCAGCTACAGTCTTTTTTGCAATATTTATGTCTCTATGGGGTAAGTATTGTTATATTTATATGTATTACAATTTTATTGATTATAAAGAAAGTGTGTAGAATAGTTCTACATAATTTGCTGCTGCTCTTGAATTGATTTATACTAGTGCACAATAATTTTCTGTAATTTGAAAAATTAGACATGTCTGTAGATTGAAATGACTAAAATATTCTTGTAAATTTTCCCTCCCAAATTTGCAACAGTATTTTGTTATATGCTGTAATTTTGATACGACTGCAGTGATTCAGCAAATTGCAATACAAATTCAATTCTCAGGAAATTACGGTACAAATTCCGAGATCTGGAATTGTCAGGACTTCAGCAATTCCAAATTTTGGAAATTTCTAGGTCTTTCATTTAAACTTAGTAAGACATTTAGACATATAAGTAAAATTTAGTAAGATTTGTGGACATAGCAATAAAGTAATATGCCAAGTAATAATTCTCATAGATATGAATATTACACATTATGTTCCCACGATGAAGAGAACATTGTATTTAGCAAAATCATGTAGACAAAAAAATAAAAATAAATAATATAAGCATGTATGCAGCTGCAGATCCAACCGCATAGATCTGTAGGCATTCATTTATATTTTTTCATGCTTTTATGACATCCAGAGGAAAATGGAGTATATCATCAGGATAACTGCACCTAGTGAGATCACAGAGCTCAGCTACCTGCTACCAGTTTAGTAGCGAGCATAACTGGCTCCCTGGGCAAAATACCATTTTTGGCTTCCTGCGCCCTTGAAAAAAAATACAGTGATATGATGAAAATCTTGTTTGGAGACCATTTGGCGCCCCTCTGCGATCGCACCCAGGACATCATACACCCCTTGCTAAGCCATTGCCTGCTACTTAAATTGGAAGAACATTCTGCTGAATTTTTCTTGCTGAAATGGCCACCAAGAGTATATGGATTAAATTCTACTAAAAACATTTGAGGTAGTATGTAAAAAGATATGCAGACGCATTATCCACCACCAGCATTCTTAACTGATTTCTAGGAAGTTTAGAAGGCATGTGAGCTATATACCTCAGGAATATTTTAAATTGTTAAATCCATGCCTCCTTTTATGGCAACTGTTATCAAAGCCAAAAAGAGTACCTACTAGTCACTAAACTGGTAAGGAATCCATTATTAATTCTGTGGCAGTTTTAGTATATTCATTGTATATAGCTGCTTGTATGTGTGAAAATTCTTTATCTGTGGATTTATAATTTAATTTTGAGTTTTCCTAAATGGCAGATAAAATAATTTAATTTTCAAATCAGCTATTAAAACACGTAATTTTAATTAAATGCTACAATTGCTATGTATGCATCTGTGTGTGTTAGTCACGATAAAAATAATATATAAAATTTGTTTATAGGTGTGTAGGTTTTTATATTATTATTGTCTCCTTTTATTTTTCAAAAACCATTATTAATTCATAAGTGTAATAAAATACTAATTACCCAAACCTATCTCAAGTCAAATAATAACTATTTTCAGTGAGGAAAGAAGTTTAAAACATAAGTGTGTGAAAAAGTCTTTTATCATTGAAGCAGATGATGTTTTATAACGACATTTCATAAAAACTTTCATCTGGCCAATTAGTATCTAGTTCCTTATGAGATAAAATGGTGTTTTTCAGTACTTAGCTGAATGATTGGAGAAGTTTTCAAACAAATGTTAGGCATCTTAGAAATTTAAAACTGTGCATTGGTATTTAAGATACAGAGTTAACAATTTTCATTTTAAAGAAATTTTAGAATCAAATTTAAAATTGGAAAAAAAGGTAATGGTAATAAATATGGGGTTTTAAAATTAATTATACAAACAAAATAAAAATCTATGATGAAATAGCTATTAATGAATCATTAAATGCTGAAGAAAATGGCTGCATATAGAATTTTAAAAGGTGATGATAGCATACCGTCTTTCAAGTCTTCTATGTCAACATCAAGTTTTATCTTCTTTAAAATTTAGATTCAGATAATCAGTGTTCTGTTGTATTAAAAAAAAAATAAGTGTTTGAATCTGTAATATCCTTTATTTTAAAAAATTAAGAATATTTATGTGTATTTGCCACACTGTGGAAAGACAGTGACATATAGAGCCACCAAATTTTGAACACAAATGTCAAGTAAAACATATCATAAAATATTCAATATCTTAAATGTAGAGGTGAAACAAAGCTTATTAGAGGTAGAAATCTCATAGTTTTAAGACAGTGTGCATGTAAGATTTAAAAAAAAAAAAAAAAAAAAAAAAAAAAAAAAAACTATATATGTAAATCAAAATTCTAACTTTAATTTGCTGTAGTCCCTTAATTCTGCATTTTAATTTATTTCCCCTTTCTGTTGTAAAAATAGTAACTGAACCTCTCTAAACTGCATCATTTCAAAATCTTCCTGGCTTGATTCTTACACAATACTTCAGTCAATAATAATTTCAGATTTGGAAACCAACAATCAGTACGGACAAATCAGACTGAAAATAAATCATTTTTAAGAGGGATTTCATTTTGGATACATCACATTATTTTTCTCACTCTTCCATTGCCAACTTGCTAATTTCTGTTGCTGCTTCTTTTTTCAAATGTATTTAAAAATATAATAGTTACCTTTAAGAGCAAGCACACTAAAAAGATGTTTCTCAATGGGGGAAAAAATAAGATGCTTTCACCCGGCCATGAATGCTGCTTTATGTTATCTGTGCATCAATTTCTAATTTGTTACATATGTAATATTTTCAGATCTTTAATTGTAGTAATTCAAATGATAATGAAATGCAGACACATTAAGTAATTGTAGTATTTATTTCTACATTTCTTTATTCTTAGAGAGCACATTCATAACTTGAATTATAAAGTGCAACGGGCACAATCTGCATGCCAGTTTTTGATCATAAATCTGCCTTTTTTTTTTTTTTTTTTTTTTTCCCCATCTTCATAACAATTAATTTCAGTGGAATAAAGAAAGTGCAGCAGTGGAGAGTAAGCAGTTTTGCAGAATGGAAGTAAGCAAGATTATGCAATATTTCCAAGATGAAAGCTCATCAGAATGATTTAGTTTTAGTTTTATTGTGCTTGGTTAAGTTTCAATTCTCAAATTTGAAGTTTTTATTGGCTGATGCACTATCTTAAGTGCCAGTGTTATCAGCATTACATAAATGAATTTTAAAAGGATTAATTATAATAAGCAGGTGTTATTTTTAGGTGAGAAAAGAAGACTAATCAAATTTAAAGTGAATTTTTTAAGACGGTGGTTTCAAACTCAATCTGCATGCTGATTTTGTTAAGGGAAAAAAATGGATTGATAATTAGCAACTGGATTTTTTTAAACAGCATTTAAATAGTAAAACTCATATGGACAGAGTAGCAAAACTAAGAAGCCAAAATTCCTTTCTACTGGCAACAGGATTAGTAGTTTATTAAATAAGACCTTGGATGAACATCAAAAGAAAAAAAATCCATTTGTGAAGAAGTGGAAGTATTAATTGATAATGTATTACTAGCAAGTATATCACCAAATGTTTAATATTATTCTTAAAATTTAGATGTCAACAGAATAACCAGTATAAAACTATTTTTGCTGGAATAATTCAAATAAGGTCTTGTGATTTTTTTTAACTGTTTATGCAGTAAAAGAATTTTATTTAAAAAAATTGTTGTTTTCTTCTGTTTTACTAGGTAAGATAAATGGAGTACCAGCAACACTAAAAATATATGACATTTTTTTCAATAAACACTGTATTGCGCATCATGAAGATTTGGCCATTTGCAATGTTTATGATATAATTCACCATATTATTAGATTTACTACAATATACACCATATTTTGTAGAAAGAAAGCAGAATATTGCTATTACAAAAATGAAGCTGTTACCTGTAAAACATTAAATGAAGTTATGTGATTATTTAAGATGTTTTGCACTGAAAGCAATAATTAAAAGTTATGGAGTATCAATTAAATATTTCAAGAAAAATGAAGCATGTAATCCTATTTCGAAATCCTGTTTACAGAAATTGAAAATTGCTGAATTTCATATAAATTTACATATTTTGAATGATATTTTTGAGGAACTTGCAGCATCATATAAAGTTTTTCGGTGGCAAAATGTAACACCACTTGGTGCATTTCACTTTTTCTTGGTAAAATAAAGTGAAATAAATAAGTTTAAAAACAATGTATTAACCACAGCAACATTACTTGAAAGTACAAAGTAAGGAAATTCTTCTCCCCAAATCCGAGTAAAGAACTATTGAAATTGATGATCACTTTTATAAATTTATGTTGCACTCATGTAGAAGTCTTGAATATGAAGTACGGAAATGGGCAGCATTTGATCTGACAGCATTAAGTGCATATGATTTCAATTAGGGGACAGAACTAGTTGAGAAATTATGCATAAAATTTAGTAACATATCAGCAAATAAAACAGCTGTGCTACTAAATAGTATAATGACTTAAAATTTGTCTTGTATGAAAAAAAAAATTAATATAAATTGATAGAAAATTTTTCAGGTATTGTAATGTTTTCTTTACAGAATGAAAAGTTTTTTGAACTTTTAAAATTAATGGATATTGATGGAACATTTTATGCATCTAATATTGACTGTGTAACCAAGTTTCAGTTTAATGAATTTAATAAAAAATAAAGAAGTAATTTGAAAGAAGATTACTTAGACATGTTAATAGGAATGAAATCATATTTATGTATTGGAAACAGTATAAATGTGGATTGCATACGTACTGAATGAGTAAATTTTAAACATAGAATAAAAAAGATTTAATATATACTTATGTAAGTGTATATTAAATAACTGTTAGTATTTATTTAAATATCACTCTTAGTATATATTTATTTTGATAAATCTGAACATTATTGCTATTAAAATTCAAGCTACATTTTAGTAAATAATTTTATGTTTACATGTATATTAATATATTTATTTTTAAAATTAATAAATAGTTTTTGAAATGTGTGTGTTTTTGAAAAAAATGAATGTTATTAAATAAAAATAATTCCTGTAGTAGGTATTTTTAATAGCTTAACTCCATGTTTTATGTATATATGAGCCATTTATCATTGAAAGTCTTGGTATGAAGATTGTTTTTCCGAAATAAATTGGAATCATCATTTATTGACCAATCTATTAAAATATTTATGAAGTTATTTTGAATTTTTACTGTAATTTTTTGAATTTTATTGTAATTTTTATTAAATTTTAGAGTTAATTTTAAAATATTTATGATAAAGGAAAATGAACTATATCTTGAAAATGAACTATCTATATAAAAATCTGAGTGTATGATCTTAGCTATGAAAAAAAATCTGATTATTAATTGCTTTTAAGATTTTTAAGTGATAAGTATTTATTTAATTTAGGAGCTGTGTTTTTAGAGATGTGGAAAAGATATTCAGCTGACATTACCCATAGATGGGATTTAACAGGCTTTGATACTTATGAGGTATGTGTACATATATCAATGAAAAGTTTTGAAATGTCATTAATTTTCCTTGTAAAAAAAACAAACTAATGCATAAAGTCCTACATCAAAGTTTCCTCTTTTATAGGAACATCCTCGGCCAGAGTACTTGGCAAGGTTAGCAAATGAAAGAAAAAAGAAACTCAATTATATAACTCGGGTATAATAACATTTTATTGTAATCTTCTTTTGTGTTACTCTTAGTTTTACGCTTGTTAGTAATTTGCTTATATTAGTTTAAATCTGCTTGAAATGCTTAACGGATCCCAGTTTGAGAAGTCAGAAAAGATGAAGAGAAGACACTAAGATGAACATCTTCATTTAATCAAATTCATAATATTTATTTTTATACACTAACCGACATTAAAAATGCAACACCAAGAAGGAGTGACCAGAAACTAATGAAACTCGGCAAATAGAGAGAGACAACAACGAACAATAGTGATCTTTATTTCAAAATTATATGCATAATACAGAGTGAGAACAGCGTTAGATCAGTAGGTTGTTGGACCACGTTGGATGGAGGTACAGGAAGCAACACGTCTAGGTACAGAGTCAATGAGACTATGGATGGTGTCCTGAGGAATGGCTCTCCATACACTGCCAACTATTTGCCATAGTTCATCTTCTGAATGCAGCAATGACAGGGTCTGCAAATGGCATCCAATCACATCCCAAATATGTTTTATTGGTGAGAGATCAGGAGAGAATGGTGGCCTGAAAAACATTTGTACATACGAGCAGTATGTGGTCAGGTGTTATCCTGCTGATAAAGGGCATCAAGCACTCCTTTGAAGGTACAGGAGTGTCACCATCCACAGCACATCATCCACATATAGTTGGGCCACCACAGTGCCCTAAATATGAACTAGAGGTGACCTGGAATCATACATAATTGCACTCCAAACCATGATGTCACATTGTCATGTGCTGGGGCATTCCACAATTGCTACCAGGTTGGACCTGTCTCCACATCGACGCCACACTCGTCGCACAGCAGCGCCATATATCCAAGGTTCGATCTACAGGCTGGGCAAGGTTGACTCATCCTTTCATTCCTTGAGTGGGTCGATAAAATGAGTACCAGCTTTGCTTGAGAACTAAACACCAGCGACAAGCTGACTACTTGTCCAGGGTATATGCTCATGCACCCCAGGGCACACGGTCAGGAAAGCAGATGTCGGGGCATTGCAGGCCATGGGTCAGTAAGAGCACAACTTTCGATTTCTCGTGAACAATTTTTGTTATTTTTATTTTTCATCACCTGATGTCTACCAACTAGTAACAGTTTGAGATTGGCTCACATGATGATGCCCTAATAATTTTCTCAACGTTGTTTAAATAAATACCGTACATTGTCTCTCATTAAAAAAGGAAAGAGAGAGAAGACAAAATGACTGATTCTTTATTAACCATTTCAGTTCAAAAAGTTTTATTAACAAAAGCTTTAGAGTATGGATAAGATCAAGAAGCATTTAAATGATTTTAAAATTGTGGTCATCTATCTATGAACATCCATTGTTTACTTATTATCTAGTGTAAATGGTATCTTTCTAACACTTGTCCATCAGCTTCACTAGTTATAGTGTTACAAAGAACACAAGCAGTAGACAGCAGGGCTTGCTAGTAAGGTACTTTGCTGGTAAAGTGTAAATACTGTTAAATTTTCTGATGAATGTCAGTTAATCTGGCACAAAATGTAGGTATACAATTATCACACTAAAAATATTGCCGAAAGATTTCTATACAAGCATTCAAGTGTTGTCATCTGGGAAATCACTCAGCGGAAGGGACATTCTGAGCTGCCAATACTAGGAGCTGGTATTGTAACCAGTGCAAGTTGATGATGTAATTTTGTAGCATATGCATTCTGTTCCATTGTTGTATTGACCTTGGATTTGTGTTGCAGTGTCTTATAAATACTTTGGCTATTTATATGCTATTGGGAAGTTAAACATGTTATTCAAATGGACTTACTTTCTTATTCTTGTAATCTAAATTGCATTGAACCCATCCGGGATGTTTGTGACATGTTTATGTATGTTAAGAACTTATAAACCCCACTAAAAGTATGGAAATGCAGTGAAAAACAAGGTTATTCAAGATTATCATACCTGTGTTGAAAATCTTTCTTTTATTTCTGATACAGATTCCTCTGTGTCATAGCAATTGATGTAGATTGGTAACTTCTGAATAATACACTTTATTATTTATTACTTTTACTATACACTTTATTTTATTACTTTTCTTACCATTTTATTGTCTCAAGAAGTACTTTATGTGATTTTATCATATCCAGGCCTTCCAGTGTAAAGCTGTATGTAAAAACAATTTTGTTCCTTTAGTTTTGCACAGTTGTGCAGTACAGTAGCAATGCTATAAATAATATGTTCCACATTAACTTCTTCAGACCCCCTCTCCCCCCCTTTTTTTTTCTTTTCATATTTGTTATTTCTTCATCTTGAAATCCTAGGAAGCATTAATGGATATTAATTAAAATAGCCAATCATTATTTTAATCTGTTTGAACTTACTCTTATTTTTTATATGCAGAATGTCTTCTGTTTTATAATTTTTTTATGTATTCTATGCATATGATAATGATGTTATTTTAAACATGAAAAAATTTAGATGTATGAACCATATGTCCCATTTTGGAGAAAACGATTGCCATACACTCTGATGTCAACTTCTATTGTCCTCCTTTTAGTAAGTTTACTTTATATTTTCTGAGCATGCTAACATCTCCAAGTAATTTCATATTATAATGAATCATTTACTTCAGGTTACTGTTGCTGTAGCTGCAGTTGTTGGAGTTATTTTGTATCGAATATCTGTGAATGCTGCACTACTTTTGAGTCAAGATAAAACTTTGTCAACTTTTGCTACTATCATAACTTCTACTACAGCTGCACTGCTCAATTTAATTTGTATCATGATATTTAATCAGGTGAATGTACTGTTATATAAGCTAATTTTAAATATAAATATTTATTATAATCGTTCTTTACTAAAGCAAAGTCATTATTTTTTTTAGTTTTATACATACACAGCCACATGTCTCACTGAACTTGGTAAGTGAATCATATTTTCTCCATGTTTTTATAAGAATTAAATATTCAAATTGTGTAATATAATTTTTTTAGTTAATATCAGTATAAACTTGTTAGCAAATTAACTGTCATATTGTAGATTTTAATAAAATTTTCTAGTTAAAAGCTGAATTAATGATAATGTTCCAAAGGAACTGAAGTGATCCATATTAAAAACTGATTGAGCAATTTATTATGTTGTGATTGATTATTTTAACCGCTTGCCTGATTATCCTGAGTTATCTCGGGTTCGTATATATTGCAGTTAATTATTATCCCGAGAAAACTCAGGCTATTGTATAGTATACATTGGCTTGTGGATTAGTAATGTATAGAGAAGGATGCATGCATGCGTTGGGGAAAAAATAAAATAATGTCGATGATGCAAGATAGCGAAAGTGAGGATTTTTCAGATAGTGATTATGAAGAGGGGGGGAATCAAATCCAACGAGACAGTGTACTCTGTGCTCCCGTGAAAGAGATTCCAGTGGTAAGCCAGTAAGAAAAGAGACCAGATACCAGTGTAGAACGTCAGGTATCACTCTGTGTTGTCCCTTGTTTCAAAAACAATCATACAAAGATTAATATTTAACTATTTCCGTTTGCCTGAGATAACTCGGGATAGTAAACTAATATTAAAAATAAATGCTTTTACACCTTCAAAAAATTAAAAATTCAACTTAAAACCTACGTTTTGATTTGTTTCGTTCGTTTGTTGTATTAATAATAAAATAAAAAAATGTGATGATTTTTTGCAATTTTTTTCAAAAAAATTTGTAAGGAAAGCGGTTAAAGTAATGAAAGTTTTGTAGGGAAATTAGAGATATTAATAATAAATTTTAATTTGGCATTAAAACAGCTATTCTTTTATAATGTTTATTCTCTCAAAAATATTTAATTATAGAAAATTATTTATAAGTCCAAAAAAAGTGCTGTAATCAAAAAGGTTTTATTAAAAGTACCCTGAATTCTCTTTTTACACATTTTTTAACATGGTGCACAAAATGACAAACCAGAGAAATAAATAAATAATAATTTGAACATTATTTTTAAAAATACATAATGGTACTATTTATTTTTGGAATTCTCTATACCTGTTGTCTATAATTACTACTTGACATGCGCAGATAGGTATGTGAAAAGGACGAAATCTATAATTTCAATATGATTTGACCACGTGCATAGCTCAGTACCAAGAATTATGCAAAGACCCCCCCCCCAAAAAAAAAACAGCCATTGTGATCACTAACTGAAAATTTCTTAGATCCAATAAACTCCAAAATATGAAAAGAAATACAATACTGTCTCTGGATATCTATAGTGATGAAATCAAGTGATATCGTACCAAATGTGTGTAAATGAGTATGTCTATTGTCTGATAGTGAATAAGTTTTGCTACAATTTTTTAAAGTATTAAATAAAATTAAGATAAAATGAACAGTAATGCATTCTGATATCCTAAATTGATTTTTACGCTAGGAAACCTGTCCAATATTATACTTTATTTTAGTGTACGTTTTTTTACATGGTATTGCATGGAATATATCTACCTTGTAAAAAGAGAATCAGGTGTAATGTAAAATCCCACTTAATGGAAAATGTTTGAGAAAAAGAATGTTGAGTGGTTCTGAAAGTTACTCACCTCCAATTTTATTTTAATCATTGATGTTCCATTCTTCAGGGTAATAGATATTTTGTTTATTTTTATATTCGTAGAAAATGATGTTGGCTAATATTATGACACTGAATAAATGATGAATTTATATCTTTTTCTTATGTAATCTTCAAAAATTTATTTTATACTGTAGATAATTTGCAAAATAATTTTTAAATAAACGTTGATTTTAGATTTTCATTTGTATTATTGTTGGATACGCCCTTGCAAAGAAACTGTAATATAATTATAGTTTATACATCAGGTTTTGGTACATCATGCTGCATGTTTTTAAAAAATGCTCTGGTTGTTGCATAAATATGAAAACCCCAGAAAAACCGATATTTAAAAATAAATTTTTATTTTAATGTGCTCAATAAATATTTGATTATAAAATTTGTAAATTAGTGTGTAAAATCTTCATTGTGTTAAATTGTCCATGACTTAATATGAGTTATGTTTATTTCTTTATTTGTAAGAACTCCACAGAACGCAGACAGAATTTGATGACAGCCTTACCTTAAAAATGTTCCTTCTGCAATTTGTAAATTATTATTCATCTATCTTTTACATAGCATTTTTTAAAGGAAAGTAAGTATGTTCTTATTTTTTAATGTCTGTCTTTCAGTGAAATAGAAATTTTAGCTGTCTGGTGGGGAAATGCAGTGTGTTTAAATGACTTGAAATATATCAAATCTATTGCATTATTTATGAATCATTATCATAATTATAAAGTGTTAGTCAAAACTCTTAACCACATTTGGTTTGATGTTTTCATTTTAAGAGTTTTGTATGTGAGTATGTAATATGATGTATGTTTAATTCAAAAACCATTCTGCAAAATTTTTTGTGCTTGAATTTGGCACTTGAAGGAAAGTGCTTTTTATAATTTAATATGTACACAGAATGTTACGAAAGTTCTTGGAATTATGTATAATTTTTTTTTTTTTTTTTTTTTTTTTGATTTTGCCTATTTTCATAAGTATTACCACGCAGTTTTTCACCATAATCCCCATTTAAATGAATACACTTATCTCAACAAAAATCTGATTTTTATAAGCCATCCTCAAAGAACATTTTCAGTCTGTCATCTCTCTCTCTCCTTATCGTATGGTTAAACCGTCGAATCAAAGGTCCCGTGAAGACTTTTCATTGTGGGAATAAAATATTTTTTCCTGACATTGAACAATTTCTGTGAAGCTTTCACACCATCTTTCCACAAAAAGAAAATTACTGTTTTTCATCCTCTGTTGCGAGAAACGGTGCTACAAAAAATGTCCCTGCATCAGTCAAACAACTAAATTGGCTAAACAGTATTGCGCACGGGATAGCTGCATCAACATGTCAAGGCTTGACTGTGGCCAATATGTTTTAGGAATTGAAATAGATCTTAAACTCTAGAACTTTGAAAACATCCCACATACATTATTTAAAATTAATCTAAACTGGCAATCTAATAAAGTTTACAATGCTTCCCCCCCCCATAGATCTGTGACATTTGTTTAAAAAATCTGATGTGTACACCACATGACTTCCTTGTACAGAATATTAAATTATACGCATTTTTTCTTGCATTTCATTTAAACTTATTAGATTGAATTAAACCTACTTCGCCGACAGCGCATAAACCACAATGGAATAAATGCATTCTTTAAAATTCGCTTTGTTTACCATAGCGACACTCTGGCGCTAGGTTTACTTAACAGTATTATATTTCGTTCATATTATAACTCAGAATGCACAAAATTTATATCGTTTAAAGAATTATGTAATTGTTGCAACATGTTCTATTCAAATACTATAATAAAGCTATAACGATGTATAAAAGAAATTAAGCAAACCAAACAAAAAAGAAACAGTTTTTCACAGACGATTGAGTATTTCTCATTCAATTAATTCAGTTTTCACTTCGCAACAAGGAAAAATATATAAAAACTCCAAATATCTGTATTAAAAATTAGAAAGTAAATCTTAAACGCTTATTTCCTCGAAAAAATTCCAGAAAGGATTAAGCATGATTTGAATAACAAATGAAGGCATTATCTTTGTTGTTGCGAAGCTAAGTTTTTCTAGATTGGCAACAAATCTGCTATTCTGCTGTTTCAAATGTAAACAAGAGCAATGGCTGCCATCAAAAACATTATTAGGCTTAGCGGCACTTAAACAATTTTAAAACTGTTGATAATTCTAAAAATTATTGCATACAGATTACTAAAGGCATAAAAAACCTTAACCGGAAGATAAGAACAACATAATTCAATCATTTTTAAAGCAAAAAATGTACAATTTACAAACATATAAGAGTAAAGAAACTGAGATCACTGAGCCAGGTAACAGAGTGGATATAGATATAAATATATTTATATACGTTTGGTGCGGCCGATTGCAACCAAAATATGAGGTGCACATCTACATGTTATAGCAGTTCTATATACAAAATTTCAACGTTCTGAGGCTACTCGTTTTTGAGTTATGCGAGATACGTTCGTACAGACGCCACGAAAAATTCTCTTCAGAATTCATTTTAAAGCAGTTTTATAATTTTTTTTTGGAGTAAAAGAGTGTTTTATTCTGTCCTTACATGCAGATGTCATGGAAATACATCGTTAAATTGCATCTGAAAGAGGTCGAAATGGATATTTTCGTTGAAATATGCTGCCTGAAACTTTTCACGATTACAATACTTCTTTTTTACTTCGTACAAGGAAGTAAAAAGGTGTATATCATTTGATCATCAACTCATCATTGTTTACTCATGATGTGAGAGTTGTTTACCTACTTATTATACTCAGTATCTTTTGAAAGTAGGAAACAAGTAAACTTGAATATTATAAGTAGCATTTCAGGTTATGGTTTTAGAGGAGCAAAAACATTTATTATAGCAGTCAGGCCATTCTATCTACTTTTTCACTTATCCATGGTTTACTGAACTTATATAAAATAAAAACTGAATAAATGAATAGTTCAAAATGTTTACCTTATGAACCATATTCTATCAGTAAGACCAAACTGTAATATAATAAACAAGTGAGAACAGGCTAAACCAATTTCAACTCATTGCTGACTTTCTGTGATAATCCTAATCTTAAACACAAATATGTATGTGCAGTTTGGACCATTGCTTAATTTCTTATACTTTGTTAATGGGAAAATGTGATTTCTATTGTTATTTCATCTTTGAAACTTGAATATAATGATATATGAAAAAAATATATGAAATAAAATATATATAATAAAAAATATATGAAATAATATATGAAAAAATATGATACGTACGATATAGATTACAGTAATATTTCATTGCTGTATCATTCTTTCAGATCTTTTAGATGAACAGATTTTAATTGCTGTTATGCCCCATACCCTAGAAAACAGCACTAGAATGGTATCTATTCAAGGACTGCATATAAATACTGAGACTACAGTCACAAACATAGATACGATTATTACAGTTGCAAACATTTACGCCTTGCATTGTAATCCTTGTTGTATGGCGCACTACCTCATTACTGATCTGATAGCATATGGTTTGAACCTATTTCCACAACAGTATTGCTATTTGGAAATATTTAAGAATGAATAAATTATTTTTTGGAATTTTATATATTTATCTAATTATTAAGTAATTTCTAATATGAACTGATTTTTAAGATTATTTGTTTTATAGGAAAACAAATGTATATATTTATTATTTGTTATGTAAGTTTCAGAATAAAAAAAAAAAAAAAGAAACACTTTTATATCTATAAATCATATCAAATTTATATCTATAAATCACTTTTATATCTATGGTATACATCTGCTTTGAAATACATAGAACTTGGTACACATCCTGTCTGGATGCAAATTTTTGTTTGGTATATCGTATTTGTTTGAAATATGGTGTGAATTATGAGTCATGAGTGCGAGCACTGCACCTATTTACCTCTTTAAGACAATGCCATGGCTGCCCATGAGCATCAGTACACATGTTGTTACTATTTAGTAAATAACCAGTGCTATAACTCTGAATTTTCATGTTATTTTATTTTTATTTATTTATTTGCATAGAACTTTTGTAAACTCATTAACAGTGAGTTTTAAAAAAGGCATAAGGTATTTTCTTCCTCCTTTCTGCATGCTTCGTGTTATAACGGTTAGCAAACTTGGCGCATATTCAAGAGGTCCAGATTCAAGTCCCGGCAAGAGCATTGCTCATTTTTCAAGTCTCCTGCTTCTAAATACCCTAATGACTCTACAGAGTTAATGAGAAGAGTCAAGCAATGAATAAAATTGTTAGGATCATTATAGAGATTTAAAAAGAGGTTATTGAAAAGTATAAAGATCGCATGCATATCCATCACTTGGCTATTGTGTAATGTAAACTGAGTACAAAGGTGTTTATGGTTGTGCAAAAGAAACCTGAATTGTCTAACATTACGAAAGGAATAAAACTGATTACCAACCAAAGATCAGAGACATTTATAATCTGGATAGCAGAAAAGTATTAATGTACAGTATCATGTACAGTGCTTTTATGTGTAGTATATATTTCACCCACTGCATTAGTATTTTAATGTTAAACAATGGATACTCTCCTGTTATCGCAATTGGAATCGTCGCCAAATGTTTTGCTGAACTTGCCAAAAGATTGGTTCATATGAAGTCACTGATGTTTATTTTTAAAATCAGTTACAATGTTTTCTTTTCTTTTTTTTTTTTAGTAAAAGAATTCCTTTTCAAAATTGTCAACGAGAATACAAATTCTAAAGATTTAACAGTCACTTGTATTTTTATTACTAATGTATTTACCTTATATGTGAAAATTTGAGACTTACCTTATGATGAAACATCTTTGATACATTTTCTCAGTTTCTTCAGGAATGAGGAATTATTCACTCTGAAAGAAAGTGCCCAAAAAACCATAAAATGAATCTCCATTTCAGTTCAAAGGAAGCAAAATGGAGATGTAAAGATAAGACCTACTGAGAAAAATAAAGGGTTATGTTCTCAAAATTGGCTTGAAGGATCGAGAATCAGTTTCTTAATGTCAATTCGTTTCATTGATGCATGGTGTTTAGATTTAACCTCCACTGAATTTTGTCAGTATTAAATTGATATGAATCATTGCACTGTTGTTGATTGGAACAGTTATTAAGGGAAGCCTGTGGCTATGCATTAATGTCTAGACTAGCAGTTCTAAACCTTTTGACTAATGCATAACATCTAAACAAAAATTGAAAAACTTAAGTACTACCACAATATTTTCTATTGATTATTTTTCAGTTTCTCAATAGAAATATTAAAAAAATATATATTTTTTGCCATTTGCACAACCTATTGACTATTTGTATTAAATGCGCACATATAAAAAATATTATATTAAAAATTGGTTTCCATTTTAATTATTAAAATTTAAGGTATAATATTTTAATTCTAAAACTTAGTGCAATATTTAGGCATGTTGAAAAGACATCAATTTCTTTATGTCTGCTCTTATTTAACTGTAAATTCATTTTTATTTTCAAATATAACATGGAAGGAAACCCTTGTTAAGACAAATAGGTTGTGCAAAAAGGCAATAAAAATTTAATAGCTTTATTTAAAATGCCTTTAAATCTCTTTTTTTTTTTTTTTTTTTCGGTACAGTTGAAAATTAACAAGTGACATTTTTAAATCTTCAGTTAGATTTCGATAACAGGAAATTTCTATCAGTTGTTCTTTTTCTTCGCGAGAAAAAATTTCAGTACGTATGAACAAAATGGATTTCTAATCCAATTTTCTTTTTCATAATCCTCAGGAAAATGACAATGAATTTTAATGTCGAGTGCTAATTCTTTCAGACTTTTTTTAAAAATAATGTTAAAACAATATCTTTTTAGCTGCTGGTAATATAAGGTTTTCTTCAATAGTGTGAGCCTGTCCATTCTTGGCAATTCTTAGGCTTACTAAGTAACTAGCTTCCAAAGCTTTTTCACTTGAAGTAGCAAAACCTTTCATTACTCGTTTACTATTTTTGAACTCCAGTAATTTCCTCTTAAAATATTCTTCAGATTTATCCTTCAAATTGGCTTGCTTAAATTCAAGATATCTTTTAAGGAATGATGTTTTCATACTTTGATTGGATAATATTCCACTGCAAACAACACATTGATGTTGAGGATCCATTTCAGGTAAACCCAAATGATATATAACTCTCAGTATGTTTTCTATATTCTTTTCAATATTCTTAGTGCTAGTAGCTGGACCCATCACTTTTCCACTTAGTGAATCCTTGCCATTTGTCCATTTTGAAAATCTAATTTTATTTTAATATTTTGGCAGGTATTTTGATGCTTCAAATTTTTCACCAGATTGTCAGCTTTTGGCAATATCTAAATCTTATTCCGATATCAGAGCAGTACCCAACAATGTTATAATAACAATAATAGGATATTTTTATAATAACAGATTTTTTCCCCTTTTATTTCTTATTGGAAAAGTTTGTTTGGTATATGTCCAGTTTGGTGTACATGTAAGGATTTGGAGTAGCTTAATGGCATATACAAAGTACCATTATAAATTCAAAATAATTATTTTGACATACTAGAGGTTAGTTTTATCAGTTTGTTGTTCTTATGATTTTATTAGGGAAAGAGCATGTGTGAGATAGATGTGAGTGGGTTGAAACTGATATGGGAACATGTTGAAAACCTAGAACAAAACTTTCTTTTATATTATATATAACTTTTGACTAGAAAATAAGACCAGTTGTAAGTTGGTTTGGAGTGTAAGTGATTAATATTCATATATTCATCTCAAAATTTCAGTAACAGTTCTCAATCTTCCTTGCATTGAAAAATGAGCATATATTGAAGTTATTAAAAGGTTTGTGCTCCAAAACTGGCAAAATTATTTTCACTCATCATAAGTTTAAACTAAGTACTGAAATACAAAATGGGATCAGTCTTGTATTTTAATTTAATATTTGTTAATATAATTTTTTCTGTATTAACAAATATTAAATTAAAATATATATTCATAAAACTTAAAATATATAATTATAGTTTTTCTATGAGCTTTTTTAAAATTTAGTCATTGTGTACATCGTTTAAGTACTTGTAGACTATTTTAAAATGAGATTCCTCGAAATCATAGTTGAATGTATATTACAAATATGTGTTACCCCAAATTCGGCTTATTTCATTGTTAAATTCATTTCCCCTTTTGTAGGAAGTAAAGAAAATACTGTAATCTAAAAAAATTTGCATTATATTTCTACGAAAATAGCCATTTGACCACTCTTGACCTAAGGGCAGAATAAAGGACTTTTTTCCAAAACAGATTGTAAAATGGATTCAGAAGGCATTTTTTTGTTATGTCTGTATGTACACTGTGGAAAAAGAAAAAAAAAAAATCTTTATCTCCCATTCTACTGGGCTGATTGACAAAATTCAAATTGCGTTTTTCGTGTCTCAAAAGTGCGACTTAGGATATATATTAGATTTATATGTAGCATTGTTCTAGCAGAGGTATTTTGACACAAAATCAGACTTTTTCTGAAATAACATACCATTTTTTTCCATATTTCGATTCTACGATGCACATTATGCATTTCATATAATTATGCTAAATATTAAATTTTGTAAAATTTAGTGCGAGATTTATGGAGAAACAACTATTTTGCCTGTGTTTGTTTCATTTTTCAATTGTATGCTCAATTTTATGAAACTCCTGGTAGCTTTTTTTGATCTCTCTTAGTTCAAGAATTTTCTCTTGGAATTTTCAGTTCTTTTCTACATTAAATTTATGATGGAGTAGCTTCACTTTTTTTCTGTATAACTTTTGCTGCAGTGTCTGTAGTTATTTAAATAATTTCATGGTTAATTTTTACACATGTTGGCTCAATATTTTTGTGAATTGACATATATTATGAAAACGAGTCTTCAAAACTTCTCTAACTGATGTCTCAAATATTAGCTTGGAATTTCTCTGAGGCATATTCTACATGAAAGCCACATTTTCAAAAACACTTATTAAATGATTTGAGATATTAAGTCCCTTTATTGGTTATAATGTGTATGGCCTCTAGTTTTATATATAGATAGGTAGAGAGATATTGACTTAATTATATCTTTCAAAGTGCTTGCGCTTTCATAAAATTCAGTTGTATTCATCATTTTCTAAACATCTTTTCTGTAATGACATTTGAAAGCTTTTATAAAATCGTATAATTAAACAATGAATCTTAGAAGTGCAAGAAGAGCTACAAATATTTTTCAGAAAGTGATTAGAGGTATGTGGCTGACAGTTATCTAATTAATAAAGATAACTGTCATTATTATTGTCCTTTTTTTCAGTTCCCTGTTTAATTTCAAGAAAAGAAAATTAGTAAAAATACTACTACTCATCTAGAAGTTCTTGTTGCTGTGTTAAGTTAGAAGTAAATTCTAGACTCCTTTCAAATGTGAAGAGTTTTTGCTTTTGTCAGTAACCATTGCTGTCTACTTAATTGTTAGGTTCATATTGTACGTTAATAACAGAGTAACTTCAGTTTTTTAAACCAACTGTTGTTTCACTTTTAAATAATTATGTGTGTTCTAGTAATGCTCTGCGATGCAGTACAGTTTTGTATATTAAAAATATCATTGAATAAATTTAGCAGCCCAAGTAAAATATCTTTTATCAAGGTATTAGCTGCATACTGATATGAATCTTCCTGCTGATTATATATTTTCTGATGAACAATGTTGGATTTCTCTTCCTCCAACTTGTTAGCCATCTGTCAGTTGATTATGCAATTCTGCCCTAGCATTTAGCAAATTAATGAAAAACTGCTGAAAAAAATAGAATTTTTTTTTTTTTTTTTTTTTTTTTCTTTTTTAGTGTGAAACCATTTTGCAAAGCAACTTCAGTGATTTTTCTTTTTTGTGCTTCCTTGAGACACTAGTATTTTTTATTAGTTCTTTGTTAATTATAATTATTTGTTTAAGTAAATTGCACAATGCTGTTTAGGAAAGCTTGGTTTAGTTGTAGTTTTTCTGTTGTTGTAATTACCAAAAATGTCTTTTTTGCTTGGCATTTTCAACATGTTACAAGTTAGCCACACAACAAATTTTAAAAATTCTTCTTCCAGTGACTTATTCAGATTTCAAAATTTACATTTCTAGCTAATAGAAAAATTGTCCTTTGTCCTTTTTTTTTCTTCAGTTTGCAGTTCCCACTACCTTTCCGTTCAAAGACTCAGGACATGCAGGAATGTTTAGAAGCATTTCATAGACCTTTTTTGTAATTATGTGTGAATATAATCTGAGTATAATCTTTTCTCAGTCTGAGTTTAATAAATGGCTGTTTTCCCATTTCTAAATGGCTGTTATTAATTAGTGTATATTTTTGTTTCTTGGACATCTGAATGTAATAAGTGGCTGAGCTTAATAAGCGGTGGGTACTTTTTTATTATTACAGTAGCTGGAAAAAAGAAATAAGCAGGTACCCTTTGAACTTCTGCAGTTCGGAAATATGGCGTCTTAAAAAAAATGATTGTCAACTCTTTGGTCTGGCTTACCTATCTAAAACCAGCCATCAATTTCTGATCATTATATAAATTTTTAGTGATTAAAAAATGTATGAATTGCTCCCAATGATATCCATATGATTTTATTGATGATTTATTTAATGATCAAGTAACCGATGAGAGTCTGCTGAATGTTTAGCAAGGTTATAGAAACTATTTGGTAATTAAAAGCTTTTGAAGAGCATTAAAGTTCCATTTATAAAAATGTTTGAATGTAGTTATGTTTAGCACATGTTTAAAAATATCAAATTAGGTATATTTTACATATTTATATGTTGATATATCTTTTGAAAATTTTTGCTTTTTAGAAATATTATTTCCTTTGGTATTTAGGTTACTAGGCCATCCTGGTGGCTATAATTTGTTGTTTGGTTATCGTCAAGAAGAAGTAAGATATGCTGATAAAATTACATTTACTTATTTATTATTTTCTTGCTTTTGCCAACAAAAATTATTCATGTTTATTTTAAATTTTTGATAGAAAATTAAAATTGGACAGAATTACTGTAATGTTAGTCCATGCATGATCTTTCCTCTCTAAGAATCCAAAAGTTAACTGAAAATAGCTTAATGATATAAACTATTGATTATGAAGGACACCATGAACAACAGAAGGTAACAAAACATGCTTATTTTATAAATGTCTTTTAATGTAAAAATGGAAGTAATTAAAATTGCGAGTAGTTTAGATAGCTTCCAGAGATCAGTATCTCATTTGGTCATCATGGTGTTGTGTACAAAAACAGAATTTATTTGAACCTAAGGTGTAATATCATTCTTGAATCCATATGCATCATTCTATGTATCACTGTAGCTGCAAGCATTTGTACTATACAATTAAAGATAAGGAAAGCAATGGTTGTGTTAATAATGGTCTTTGATTCTGCAGATTGATATTGTATCATATATCTTGATATTTGTTCCTATGCCACATATGCTAATTTTTTAGGTAAAATGCATTCTGTGGTTATGCAATCCATATGCACCATACACATAAATAGTTTGTCCTTTCTGCCATTTGTTTATGTATACAGATCATCTATGCTATCCCCCCATATTCATATTTGCATAACACTTTTAAGATTTCTACCAATGCAGCAGCAGTTTCTTGGTTAGCTAACCTGCAACCACAATGTTATAATTCAACTTCAATGATCAGATGGAATATTGATGTATTTTACTCACTTAGTCTATTCTTTTAAAAATTCAGAATTAGTAAATTAGATTATATCATAAATATCTGCTTTTGTATTTCCTTGCTTTTGCTGTCAAAATTATTTTTCATTATTAGAGTGTATGATATGTTTTTAACACAAATTTTTTTCTTAATCTGTCAAGAAATTATTCTTGTCCTTTTTATTAAAAAAAAAAAATTACCTTTTTTGTTAGTGTGGAACTGGTGGATGTCTAATGGAGCTAGCTATACAGCTTGCAATCATTATGGTTGGGAAACAAGCCTTGAATAATATGATGGAAATCATCCTCCCGTGAGTTTTATTGAAATTTTTGCATGTGAATTATATGTGATAACTTCTGTGTTTATGCAATTGTTTCAAAGCCTTTATTTATTATTCAAAATTTAAAAAATAAATTAATAAAGTAAAAAATAAGAAAAGGTTAATTAAATTAAGCTGTAATGTAATGTTAATGTAGTATCATAGGTCCAGCTAGTAATTAATAATAATGACAGATGAAGATCTGCATGTATTGCTGTTAAATTGCTTAATTATAATAATAGAGTGAATTTGAAAGAGAACTGAAATATCTTGCGCTTTACCGAATGGCAGCCCATTTCTTTTAAATTGCCAAGTTGGTTGATTAAATTCAACAAAAAATACTATATTATGTTTTACCAACCTAAGATTTCTGATTTAATTTGATGTATAAATTTCTTACAATTTGTCGAGTGGCAACACACTGCTTTTAAATCATTGAGTTTAAAATCATGAAATGTGTTCAAAATGTAATATAAATAAAAAAAATTGAAATTCAAAATTCAGGCCTTAAGATGCATATGTTCAGGTGGAGGACTGCTGAAAATTTGGGGACAGTAAATGCTACGTTTTTCCTACTGTGTGAAAAACATGCATTCATATAGATTCTTCATTATTTAATAATAGAGACAAATGTTTTAGAAATCTACTATGGTTTGCAATAAACAATGTTTCTTCAAGTTTGAGTCTGAACGTCTCATTAAGCTATATTTTAAAAAAGTATAAAACATATTTATTTTCATTATTCAAGAATTTGTTATGCTTAATACAGTACAAAGTCCGTAATCTGGACTCTTCGGGAGATTCCGGATTATAGATCATCAATTTAAATCTGGTAAGATGGCATGCAAAAATTATACAATTAAAAATATGAAACCATAATTTATGAAATAAAGAGCAATTATGATCTAAGGGTATCAAAATTTACAAAAAAAAAAAAAAAAAAAAAAAAAAAAAAAAAAGCTTAATATTTATTTGTTACTATTAAACATTTCTTTCAATATAAGTTGTTTAAGTTGCTTCATTTTTTGTACTAATACTTTCTCTTTAATTCTATAAACAGACGTAATTTCTTGTTCAGTTACAAAGTTCCACTGTCCAAGTCCTGTAATTGCTGTATCAAGAATACTGACTAACTTGTTAACCAAAATTTTTTCGTTTTCATTTCGTCTCTGTCACTTTCTTCACTATAAACACCAAAATAGCTTGCTCTTTTCCATTTCATTAATTATTTTGCTTGTGCTATTGAGGCTTGTGCCAGCTTTGAATTTGCAGTATTGCCCATTTGTTGAAACAGGATTTCATCAAAATAGGCTAGTTTTTTGCATACTATTATATCTCACTCAATTTTAAAATTCTACTGAAGAAAAAAATTCTATTTAATTTTTAAACCAAAGTTGATTGATGTAATTTAATTTTAATTAATAAAAAGCTTTCGTTTTGTATTTTAAAGCCTTATAATATATAGAATTAATCTCTTTTTATATAGATGTTTTCATTATATATATATATCATTCAAATTAATACCTTCATATTCGAAAAATATTCTTAAACCAGCTTATAAGCAATGCGCATGCAAACACATTTTATAACTTCACTTATACTACATTATTTTTATTTATCTTTTATTTTTATTACTAAAAACTAGTTGTTTGTTACCATATCAGTTTGATAAGAGCTTTTCTGTGAAAATACGAATTAGTTCGTATTCTCTGCGGTTTTAATTTTTCAAATATTTTATCCTCCTGTAAACAGTTTTATAATGTGTGACTCCAATGGGAGAAGTAGTAATTGATAATTACCAGACACACAAATGTGAATATGTGTTTATTTGATTATGGCAAAATTTGCGAGGTCTATCTACCTAAAGGGGAGGAATGCCTTTAGGTAGATAGAGGAGGACTTTATAAGGTAAACTGGCTCGTATTGCCATACACTTGGGGAAAATAATGGAAATGCTCATGCAGCCAATTTGGCTCTTTAGAATCAAACCTAGGTCAAACTATCAGTGTTCAGCGACTTTACCATTTGGCTGCTGGCGGGTTTACATACACAGAGATGTGAGAAGTATTAGTTTGTTGTAATTAGATTGTACTCTATTTTAATAATTTAAAATTAGAACCCTTTGTTTCATGATATGAAGTTGTGGTATTCAGCCTTTATTACAGATTCATTAAGTTTTCTGATAGAAAGAACTAAAAAAGAAAGTAAATTATCAAGTATAGTATTCGAAATTATTAAGATAATTCTGTGTTTTATTTTCATAATTTTGAAAATAGTAAGTAATTTTACATTCACAACATTATGCAATTTCATGCAAATGGTATTAAAAATTGATCTGCTGAAGTTATAGTCCTTGTATATGTAAATTAACCATGTTCATTAAAAAAGCAGTTATCAAGTAAATTTTTGTTTCTTGACTTACATAATAAGCAATGTTGCATAATAATCAAAAAATCACTAAGAGATGAATTTAAATTTGATACTTTATAGCACAAATGATTCATATAATCATTAAAAATGTTTGGCTGTATGAGATCAGTTTCCTACTATAGAAAGTGCTAAAGAAATTAATAAAAAGGGTTTCATATAAAGTACAGTAGAAAGTTCGTAATCTGAACATCCATTATCTGGAATGATCTATAATCCGGACTTCAAAGCCATAAACTTTTTTTTTGCATGCTTTACGCATGCGCGTTTAATGTTACACATGCGCGTTTAGCACAAAAAATGAAGCAACTTAAACAACTTGCATTGAGAGAAATGTTTAATAAAGTAAACAAATAAATATTAAGCCCCCCCTTTTTTTTTTTTTTTAAATTTTGATACCCTTCAGATCATAATTTCTCTTCATGCACGTAATGCGTTTAGCACTAAAAACGAAGCAAACAACTTACATTGAGAGAAATGTTTAATATAGTAAACAAATAAATATTAAGCCTTCTTTTTTTTTTTTTTTTTTTTTTTTTGTAAATTTTGATACCCTTTAGATCATAATTGCTCTTTATTTCATAAATTACAATTTAATATTTTTAATTGTATCTTTTCTGCATGCCATCTTACCAGATTTAAATTGATGATCTATAATCCAGAAAAAACCCTAATCCGGAATCACCGAAGTCCCGATGAGTCCGGATTACGGACTTTGTACTGTATATACCTATATGATTTCATAAAGATGTTTAATTCTGAATCAAAAGCAATGACAATCTGTTCTCGTCTGCTTCCTATTCTAATGTAAAATAGTATTCTCAGAGATTTTATTTGACAATGATTTAGAATGGTTTATTTCAAATAGAAAGAGCGTATGCGAAGGTTAGATTATTTGAATATGGCAAAACACAAGACTATCTGCCTAGAAGTAGAGATGCCTTTGTGGAAGATTCTATGAGAAACAGGCTGGTGTTAATGTAACATATGTGGGAAACTACAAAAATCAAGCATGCAGCCAGCCCATTCACCTGAGATTTTAGCGGGATCAAACTCCCAGCATTCAACAGTCTTAACCACTCATCCACTGGTGTGATATGTATGCAAACAATTTGAAAAGATGTTAGCACATAAAAGGAGAGAGACTTTCATCAGATTCTTTCAAAATGTGTAGAAAATTATGTTTAAATGACTATAAGATAGACTTATGGATAATTTAAAGTTGATATGTTTGACTACATTTGTTTGCCACTTACCCACTGACTTGTGAAAGAGATTTGTAGAATATTATAATGCGGGTATTTAGTATGAATGCAAATACATTTTGTTGTTGAAGTTTTCAGCTATATTAAAAATATCTTTCTAATAACACATTAAATTTAATATATATACGTGAATTATAAATGACATGTACACTGCTCAAAAAAAAAAAAATGGGACAGTTCTATATATCCCATTCTACTGGGCCGATTGACAAAATTCAAATTGCATTTTTCATGTCTCGAAAGCGCGACTTAGGATATATATTAGATTTATATATAGCACTATTCTAACATAGGTATTTTTACACAAAATTTGACCTTTTTCTGAAATAACATACCAAATTTTTTCCATATTTCGATTCTGCGACTCAAATTATGTCAGAATGCCAAGTTTTGTAAAAATCGTGCAAGTAGTTTTTAAAATATTAGCTCTCAAAATTTTAACTCCTCAATATTAATTGAATTTGGCAAATATTTATTCATATCTCCTTTTATATTAAACATTTTTTATTTTTCCTTTCACATTTCGAAATTTAGGTTCATTCCAAATAAAATTTACCTATTTTTTGTGTTCTATTTTTTAAATTTCTATTTTTAAATAATTTTTATAAATTTTTCGAAAAAAATTTTGAATTATAACCTATAAAATTTTTACTATCATCTTAAAGTAGGTGTATTTCTAAGCATACCTGCAAAAAATTAGACATTTTTATTCAAAATTTTCTAAGATATACATGAATTTACATACTTTCGCATTTTGAAATTTGGCATCTTTTTTTTAGTGATAATAATGCCAAATGTGGTTTATGGATCTTTGTTACAGTGAATTGCCACAGCTATTAACCTTAAATTTCAAATAAATTTTTACGGAGAATTAATTATATGAAATTTTTCCCCTCAATGATACGTAATAAATATTTATTAATACTGTGTGAAAATTATTATATTTTAAATTATAGATGTTATTATTCAAATTTTTAACCTTTTTTTTTAAATTTCTTGCTTTCTTCCTTTAAAAAAAAAAAAAAATTGTAAGAGTAAATTTCTATCTTCGACGTTTTATCATCTGCTACTTTACTTTAACTTCCTTTAAATGAAATTGTCTAAAACTGAGAACTTTCATTTGATGTTAATTTGAATTATAAACATACAATCCTCTAGAGACCGAATTAATGGAAGTTCAATGGTTATGTAGAAATGATCTGCAGTTACTTAGTCGCTCGATAAGTCAGCAGGTTCTGTGGACAAGTAAGAATAATTATATAAACAACACATAACATTCTGGATTCAGTTACCAATGAGGGTATAATGTTTATTAAATG